ATATATACTCTGTTGTGTACCCTGTTGTGTACATCGTTGTGCATAAATTATGTGATTATGTCGAATAAATATCACTCTGAGCTTATTTTGATTTGGTCCAACCCAAATCCCAATTGCGATTTGGGTCGACCCGATTTCGAATTGGGTCAGATTGCGATTTGGGTCAGAACACATGTTTCATTGAAAAGGCTTGCGTTTGAAGGATAATGCATCAGCCACTCACCATGAAATGGTAGGATGTGCTTGTAAATATTGCGCGTTTTGAGTATCCAAGTTTCTTCCTTTTATAATAGCATTTGATATTGCAATCTCTAACGTTAAAATGAATCAAACAAAATAATTAGAGGGGACGATTTAATAAACAACACCAAGATCTAAGGAACTTAAACAAGGCAATTTGATTGCTTTTTATCATGTTAAAACTTACTTTTAACAATAGATTGTATATCAATTATTTTTGAACAATTAGATAAATGTGATAAAACAGTACTATAATAAAGCTCCCAGCTAACCAACTTTGTATCCACAGTGAATCCAGTACCCATATCTGATATTTATGATGTACCAGCCTTGACAAAATGACTTCTACAGAAGCAACCCTAATACTTAACAGTTTGTTGATAAGGAAACAAACATGTGACTCGATCGAACAAAATAAAAGCAATGATGAACATATATTGCAATTGGCCTCTAAATTCAAAATATTAATTAGTATAACTGTTTTTGAAGTTAATTCTCTGGATTTTGATGATCAGATCCTTAATTTTGTAAATTTATCCTCTGGAAAATCATGTATTACCGTTTCGACATAGTATTAGAAGCTCTGATTACGATACTTTCTGATTGGCATCCTCAATCTCTGAACCCTTACCACTTTAATTAAACTTTATGGTACAAATCTAGAGAAGAGTGTGCGGAAGATTGACATCGATGCACAGGATTGAAGCGCGTATGCACGCGCCAAGCATGAATGGTATGCGCCAGTAAAAAAGGTGAATATTACCATGCTTTGTCTTGGTTAAAATAGGTTGGGCAACAATGTTGAGGCTTGGTGCATTCTTGCTCCGATTGCTAGTCTGCGTGGCCAGTCGATCTTACACTATTACTATGATTTAATGGATTCCATACATACCAATACAGCACTATATTATTAATATTATTAGCATGGGAATTTTCATGCACGCCCGTTCGTCGGAGAATTAAATACTTGAAAGACGAGGTAATAGTAAGCATATCATATTGCGCTAATTTATTTGTAGTCCTTTTCTGGCAGATCCTTATGCTCTCTGGAAATCGTTTTCACCTTCCCACATGGACGTCCTGCATCATGTGAAACCATGTGTATCTCTTTAAGACAGTCCCGTCATTTATCTCGGATATTAAGCACACGCAATATCAAGCTGTGCATAATGAGCAATCGCAAATCAGATGAAAATGCTATAAGCATAATTACTTTTATAAAATGAAATGGAAACATCTATTACTGGAGTGTTGACTCTGTCTATACTAATACTAATACTAATACCTCATTTACAGAAAAAAATGAACCGATTGAAAGCTCAAAAAGACAAAAACTTTATCACAATGTTCGGTTATTGTAATTTGACAATTAATTAAATTCAAAGTTAATACTCATAATATTTAATGTATAAACCTCATATTTAACTTGCATATTTAAAACATGATCTATTACTGGGAACTAGAAATCTATTGACATAAGTCCAATATGTACTTATTATATACACGGAGAGTAAAAAAACACTAATAACGACAATTAGTCGCTACATAAAATATATATATTCCGTATCTATAAAGATCCGGAATTTGATATTAATGACGATCCATCTTTCTATGGATTTGACATATCAACTACAAATTTCCTAATGGCAATGTCATTGTAATGTGCGCGCTCAAATATACACGTTTAACCCGCGTTTCACTCTTCTAACCAAGGATGATTGAGTACTTCAAATATTGTCGGACGCTTGTCTATGTTGCGGCTTAGCATCTTTTTTATAAGATCAATAGAACCTATAATTGCAATTGAGAATTCGAGAAATAATTTTGTTGTTGATATAAGTATTATGAATAACCTTTGCCCTACACACAAATAAAACCAAATATGTGTGTTCATACCTTCTGACAATATATACGGAATACGTAAATCTCTTGAAAGAATCTCATTTATATTATAGAATGGATTCTCTCTATATATAAGCGTATATAACAAGATACCAAGAGCCCAGATATCTTGCGGCGGACCATCATATTCCCGACCAGTCAACATCTAAAGTCAACAAAATGCCCATGTTAACACATGTTAACACATAATACACTTCCAACACTTGTACATTACTCCTCTCTACGTTCCATCTTACCTCGGGCGCAGCATAATCCAAAGTTCCACGGAATGTATTGTACTTCTTGCCGTCTTGAATATATGCAGCACTCCCAAAATCAATCAACTGTATAGTGCCATCCTCATCCAAAATAACGTTCTCGTCTTTGATATCCCTATGCACGATATTATTCTTGTGCAAATGCCCAATCGCACAGGCAACTTGTCGGAATATCGATTTGATTTCAGTTTCGGGCATCGAAGCGTCGAGTTCTATGTACCCAAACAAGTCCATTCCTGTTCCATGAAGATTCATTTCAATGTAGTAATGGTTTTCGTCTTCAAAAAAGTCGGCTGTTGATGGGAGTTTGAGAATAATAAATACATAATTCGAAATAAAAAAGCTGCGATACAAGACCGTTACATAATGCAACGGATCATTATTAGATACGTACTCATTTGTACTATATTTGGATGAGAGAGTTGCCGGAGTGTATGGAGAATGTGTATCTCTGATGGAATATTACCAAGTATTTTATGACGTATCCAATTGTCGACAAGAATCTTTGACTTGAAGACAAACTTCAATACCACTAGTTTCTATAATAAAACAAAAGCATTATAAACAACACAAACGGATAGATATACAAACTTCTGTTTTGCTCGTTCAATCGCACACTCGCAGACTCACCTTTTCGGGATCTTTCATATTGTATGCCAACTTGACAACCCCATAAGCACCTTCTCCCAAGATGCGTAGAATCTTGTAATCATCAATGGTTTTTGCATGAGTAACGGCCGAATACAAACAAGGATCAAACGATTCTTCGCCTGATGAAACTACCGGTGGATTAGCATCAGGTAACGCACCATCCTCGGCCACTTGCGTTGGAGGTTTTCCACCAGCGGCCAGGAATTTCGACATTGGGAATTTTTCTTCATCATCGCTATTGCTCTGTTCATCGTCTACAGTTTCTTCTCTCTGCATTGCCTCTTCGGTCTTTGTCTCGTCCTCTTTCTTTGAATCTGCTATGGCAGGTCGAGCTTTGTCATTTTCGCTTGGAACCATTTCCAGGCTTCTGTCGTATGTTATCCATAATGCATGCAACGGCTCGTTAGAAGATTCGACTACTCGCATCTGTATATCAATATTAAATTCGGTCCCATCTCTATGCACCGCGGCAATGCCAGACGGTCCGCGTGTAAGTAGGGGAGACGCGGAAATTTTCGTTGTAGAGATATAATTAGAATACGTCGACTTGAGCAAGATTGCGGCATGACGGAACGCACTCTCAGATATTACAGTTCCCTCGACTAGTTCGTTCTCTGATTTCAAGATCTCGATCAAACCCGGAAATTGTGGTAACAAAGACTGTATATTCTTCTTTCCGATCAATGCTTGTCCACTTATTCCAAACAAATATTTTGCGAGATCCGGACTACATGACTGAATAATCCCCGACGAATAAGCAGTAATAACTCCTACAATAGGCGAGATAGAAACGATTTTAAACCGATATACGTCCATAGCCTCTGATCCCGGTTCATTTGCGGTCTCGTTCTTGCGCACAATCTTTCCAATAATCGGGAAATTTTCTCTGAGAGCAGAGTAGCTGCCGTAAAATTTGGTCTTGTTTATTTGTTCGATGTTTAGAATAGGTTTTGATGAACCGTCTGTGGATACAGAGATTGTTTCGAGTTTAGGTATTAAAGTGGTTATATTAGTTCCTTCCAGTTCTTCGGGGGGACAGCTGTAGAGAGCCTTTAGGTCACCAGATGCTTTGAGAATTGTTCCCTAAATACAAGAGCCATATCGTTAAAATGGAAAGGGGAAAAAAGTAACGCCATAAAGAGTCCAGATAACATTTTTACAGACGAACCTCTTGGTTGACTTCGATATCCATTGTCGATTCAACAATTTCCTGGAAGATCCAAATGAATATAGAATTACCGCAATCATCCTTCTTTCCTTTGAGCCATAAAGAAGCAGCTGACACCTCGTTATTTTTCTTTTGTATCGTTATCTGTAAAATAATCACAAAAAATTGTAAACATGGGCATGCAAGAAAAAATCACGGGAGAACATCCCTTCCTTCATATAATACTTACGACTTTACCACATGCCAATACCGATTCATTCTCCTCTCCGTTCTCTGACTTTGTCCAAGCCTTAATTTGCTTTTCGGAAAAGGAACTTGCTATCAAATCAAGAGCCTTGATACTGCATAGTTCCGACCTCGGATAACAAAAGACTAAACTAGCAATATCGTTAGCATTCAAAATATTTCCATGAATGTCTGTAGTGATGATCGCATGGATTTGGGGCAGAAATCTGTTAGGAGAATGTAAAATGGGCTGATGCGTTGCCGAATAGAACGACGGAATGTCAGTCAGAGTTCGCTTGAGTCTACGTTTCTGGTGTCTGTTATGCTCCATGTCTGATATGTCATGTGGAAGAACAATGTCCTTTGGAGAAGCATTAGAATGAACGAGTAGCGTAGTTCGCACGTAGGGAATCCGCCATCCTTTCACTTTGCTTTTCATAAAGTCAATCGACCGCCTTAGTATATTCTGACTGCTTTCTGCAAACTGGTTATCGTCGTCATCGTGGTGGCTGCGGACAGGCTGGGTGAAGAAACGCGGAAGGTCGGAGATATTGGCACGGCCTGTGGGGAATAGGTTGACAGCTTGTGTGTGATTTAACTCATTAGGGAAGACTGTCTCGTTGCTAAGCAGGTCTTGCTCGCCGCTATTAAAAAGAATTGTAGAATAAAATGAAGGTTGATTGAAAGTTGTAAAAAGGTGAACGGAAAGTTGGAGCGTGATATTAATAGCAATACAACGAGACAGTCTAACGAGATTATATTCAAGTGGATTGCAAGATCATATTCTCTTTGTTCTGTATCCGTGAACCTTTATTGATATAGTCTCTTTGTATCAGCCCCGTCATATATGCTCACAAATAGGTTCTGATCTATGTGTATACGGCCTTGATCAGGGAGAGAGTAATACTCACTGAATGTAGTCGTCCTCACTTTCGTGAAGGTGCAAATACTTTTCTGTTCGATATGGTGACTCTACGAGTTTAAAATTTACACGAGTTAGCTATGTTCGTATATATATATCTCTCTCTATCTAGTCTTTTAAACTATAGAATTACAGTACTACCTGTGACTTGGGTCATGTTTAATAGTGATATGAGAAAAAGAAAGTCTTTTTCGCAAAGAGAGAGTAAGTGTTGAATGTGTCTTGAGTATTAAATTAATTCAGTGTTTTAATCTAAAATTGCGTTAGTGTGGAATAATTTATTTTAAACTGTTGATTATGAGGAAAAGGGAGGGGGAGATGACTGCACTGTATTTATTGCTGTATATGTACAATGTATTTTTAAATTAGATGCATTTTGCTCATTTGGGGGGTTTCTCTTTTTTTTTGCAGGTAAAAAAAAGATCAGGTGACAAAATGATGTAACAAGGGTTGTAATAGACTGGCTGTGTTTTAGTGATTAAATGAAACGTTTGCGTCAGTCGAATTGATTAATCGGTCAGTTTCCTCAATTGAACCCGAAAATGTTAATGTTAATCGATTAAAGGGTTCCGATTTATAGTAGACTGAGATTTTAAGGGTAGAGTCGAGGATATGGGGAAGGGGGGAAGGAAAGGGGAAGGAAAGGGGAAGGAGAGATTTTTTTTGTGGACACAATCGTGGGCGTTACTATTAATGGCCACGAGTTTTTGAAGATGGATGCTTCTGAAGATCGGCTTAATCGAGAGATTTTCGCTGATGTGCGGAAGGGTTAAAACAAAACAAATAAACGAATGTTACTAATATTACGTGTTGGTTAGAAATCGGTTTCTTTCCGATACACATGGCAGCAATTAAAGAGTAACAGGTGATATCTAGCGGTTTCTCCTTTTTATTTTTTTCTGGAATGTTGTCGAATAAATTTGTTATCACATCTGGAAGCTAGGAGAGGAATCTTTGATCCAGTTAAGATCGTCTGTAGCACTGGTGTAACAAGCTTGTGCTGTTGGAAATTATCGCGGATGGATAATAATAATAATGATAATGATAATAAATGGATCAAGAAAAATGAAAGATTATTATTATTATCGATAGTAAAGTCGCCTTTACCCAAACGGATTGCCGTTTCACTTGTATGCACGTACCTCAACAAAGGACGTAACACGGCATGTATATTAATAACAAGACTATTGCTGTAAGAATGAGTTCCTTTAGCCTTGTTCGGTCAATTCCTGGCTTTTGGATTGGTTTTATGGTTCGAACGTTGTACTTTTCATTATACGTGGACTTTTATTAGGTGCATTGAATAAAGAATTGATAATGAAATAGAACGAGGTCTCACAACAACGGTTTGTTAATATTAAGCCACTCCCCCAATCACAAGCCTAACGGACATGACGCCACATGAGAATTACATAAACCAATCCAATGGCATTTAATGTAAGTGCCACGTGCATTGTATTAACTTCCCATGGCGTTAGATGTCACAAACCACCCTCAATGGGATTTAAGCTAATATTCAAAGTATGCGGGTAACGTTTTCTAAGATGCTGTCTACATTAACATTAATATACACAACCTTTAACACATAGACTTTTTGAATTAGCTATGTGAATTCTATCTATTCATTGTATGTACGTATCTCCAAGCCACAAACTAATATTAGCTTTTCAAAGCATAAACTGAAAATGACCTATACATTTGTCTGTTTTTATGCAGTGTTCAAGCCATAATCGTGGTACATGTAGTACTTAAACCCCGGTACCTCCAGAAATGTTTGGCATGTGAAATAACTCCGACAACAATCCAAACGCCTCTTTTAGCTGACATGAGGTTCGTTCAAAACTTCCAGAATAGAACTAGTGAGCAAACATGTGAAAGGGTACATCATTAGCTAATCAATAAAGACAGCCGTTTTATTTCGTAAGGAACTCGTGACCATGATTACACAATTAGGAGTCGGACTTTAACACAGGCTTTAATATTAATAATGCATCGGGTAGTTATCATGTAGAGTCACCGTTAATATTAGTGTGACAATGCTTGCATTCTGTAGGCAATGACACTAAATGGGATACTTTCCAGTTTGTGTCGACGAATGAAACAGAGACATGAAACATTATTGACAACTGTTACACTATTAACATATATCATCATTAGTATTTAGGGAGAGAGTGCGAAACTGTATATAAATGGTTAAATGCTTTTTACTGATGTCATCATCTGTGTTACTTTAATGATGGTCATGTGCCGGTGGGATTTTTTGTTCCATATAATCCTACCAGTTTTACGCTTTCGTTTTGACATCATAAAATAATGCTGACTAATCGTCTTGTAAAAATATTATGTGAGCATCGATGAGAATCCCTCAGATACCATTTTCTGCGATGTTTGTTTGTTTGTTTGTTTGTTTGTTTGCTCTAATTTGGCCAATTGTAAAAAAATCTGTCGGGTGGGCCGGCATTACATTAGTATTAGAGAAATCGGAAAGGAAATGCCTAAAAGATTCCCACATGAAATAACATGTGTCGTTCGCATAATATTTCCTGACACACTAGACAATAAACCACTAACTTGATGAAATGGGCCATAGCTCTTTAATTCCCATTGATGATGCAAATTTTTAAATAACGATGGTTTTTTTTACCAAAAGAAGAAGCATCTGCCGACTTTTCGGACACGGCTAAATTTGTATCACTGGAAGTTCTGCATATGTCAAAATACATGATCATAATGCGCTAACCTAATTTAATAGTATCTTCGACTTGCAAATATTACACGCTTTTTCAGTGTCGACGTTTGCAGATGAAATGTCGTGCAATGTGACAGAGCCAGGCTGATTATGCGACAGCCACATCGCGAACGACAGTATATGAACCCCTATTAATTAGATAGATAACATACAACTTTGGCTGTAATGACAAATGGAGACACCGTATCGACAAGAGGCATCCTAATTGAAAAATATACGTTGTCCTCAAAAAAGTACCTGTGTTATGTGAGATCGGACTGACTTTAAAACACTTGTAACTCCATCTAAACTGAGATAACTCCCTTGTGAGAAAAACCCAAAAACATTACCCTTAACAATTTCGAGCGTGGCAGTTTTGTACGGAAGGCATTCCTATTGCTCATATCATTCAGAATAGTGGCAGAACCACCGTAATTTTCCGAGTAAACAATTGACGGTATCTTCAATAAGGGTTTGGCCACGAGGATAGCCCCCACTTAATGACAAAGACATTCACAAAGCACTATAGTATGACCTGTGGTCATGTGACGAATGGGGGTGATGATAATAATAAAATCGGTCTAATTTATAATTGTCATCTCAATAGCAGAAAATCAGTGATTATACTCAGCTTATGAGTCACTAAACCCCCTTCCCCTTGAGGCGGGGGTAAAGATTGGGGGGAAAGGGTAATTTTGCAAAATTGAATAAACAACTGTTCATGTGTGCTACTTGACTCAAGTCCAACTCTCGTTTTCGGGCAATTCAGAAAGACTACCGTAGTTATTCCTTACATTCAAAAGTCATATAACGGGGTTTGTTAACAAAAAAACTTATCACTACCTTGGTCGTTGATCAAATTTGCTCAAGATTCCCAAACGCTTTGGTGTGTGGATACTAATATACCGCGATGATTTTGATCGCTTCAAATAGAGTATAATGACGCAATCGTAAAGCAATGCAGGAATTATCGATTGGAATGTGAAATAACTTATGAAGTATCCTAAACTTCTCCCAAGCCTCTCTGCGGTATTACTTGCTGTATTTTCAGGCAGCATCTTATCATGTGAATAAATAACATACACACTCGCTGGTCAGCGATGATACATTCATCTCTTCCCATAAAAATCTATACATTGACTTTTTGCTGATGTCCGTAATGTCATAGAAATTGCGCCATTTTTCATTTGGCGAGACTATATGCTCATAAATTTATCTGGTGTTGATGAGCCTTGGCAAGCGTTCAACTTCTGCCGTAATAAAGTCTTCATTTTCCCATGACTGTCTATAGTGCTGCCTTGCCAGAAATAGGCTCTGTGCGATGTTTGATTAATGTGGACTGCCCAAACTGTGTAAGTTCGCGTGTGTACGTAACGTGTAATATGAAGCATTACGCGATCGATAATTAGGATAATACTATGTATGCTGCGCATATCGATATGCACTCTGAGGTTTATCGATATCGCTAAAGATTATATCCCCTCTCATTGTCTTTTCGCAAAGTCTGACTACTAACCTCTTTGAAAACTTCCTTATTTTACGAGGACCTGAACAACTCCAAGGCGTTTTACTATCACTATCTTTGGCATGGACATGGCTGGCTAAAAGTGGATATTTTTGGTAATCTGTTTAAACAATGAACTTTATGTTGTTGTTACAAAATCTAAAAGCTATGATTCGAAATCTTAGCTAGACCCTGTAGCATTATTTTTTCAAAGTACAAAAGAGTGAATTATCGACATAAGTAAGTTACTCAGTTTCTCGGGTACGAATGCGAGCTTTGCTATTAGTTATCCTTATATTCAGCTGTTGTGCACGCTTTAAAATATCCAAGCGATGGCGCGAAGATACATTGTGTGCTATACAGATTGTGTGAGAGCATAAGAATAAGAAAGTGCGTTAGAACTATGACGATATCGGGTTAAAGTTCCCTACACCATAGACTTCAACCGAACCGCAACGGTTTTATACACACCCTCTCCTACCCACACTTCTCGATCTCTCACCAAAAACGCAAACTCACCTATCTCAGCTGCATAAGTCTTGTTGTGCATAAGCAACAATTCCAACTCTCGAACATTGTACACTAGAAACTTTTTGAACCCGTTTGGCATCAAATGTTTGGTCTTTTTGTTCGAACCATATCCAATCTTGGGCATTGGAAGCTGACCCTTGAACCGACGACGAACACGATTGTCAATTCCTTTGGGCTTCCTCCATGATTCCTACAAAATGATACATCAAAGCATCTTGTTAGTTTTATACAATCAATACATCACTTACAATACAAGAATTCTTACCTTTACGCTCTTGTAGCGATCAGATTGATGTCGTTTGAAGATTTTTCTACGCTTCTTGACGATTTTGACATTTTTTACGGGGTTCACCATTTTCCCTAATTTTCGTAGAGTTGACAAAAAAAATATTCAATTGATTATGTTGCATTTCCTTCTTGATGGCCAATCTGATGTGACAATCATCATAGGAGAAAAATAGCAGCGGGCAAAGCAACTCTACTTGTTAACGAACATTATGGGAATCATTGCAATCCTCCATTATCTTGAAATGATTCCTTCCAATGGGCAGCAAGAATACTTGAAAGGTTTGCTCGTCCATTGGGTCACAATTGCTTTTCCAACAAAGCTTAACCCGCCTCATATTAATCACTTATACGCCACAACCCCTACTCGTCCCGCATACATATTGTCCCTCTAAACCTTTCAACTGATTAAGCAACCTCTAAAACACAAAACAGTGACGGATGACTCACCTTGAAATGGATGGTTGTGAAGAGGGAATTCTCTAATGACAAACCCACCAAATTTATTTGATCGACAGTGCTGACTTCATTCGTTACACAAATTGCGGGTGATATCATTCATTCAGTGGCTTTTACTATTCTCCACTTATTTATTGTGGATGGGTCTACTTCAGTGTCTTACCGATGCATGAAAAAAAAAACAACTTTACATCTATGTCAATCAATTGAATTCGGCGAAATGGAAACCAGTACAAAGCTTTGTCAGCGCGTAAAGGTTATATATTCGGGTTACGTATATTCATCGACATAGCTAAACAATCTTACTAGCAAAATTGCGTTGCCCATAGTAGTTGCAAAGTCAGACAATTTCTCTTTTTTCTAGTACACTCATTGATAATCGTAAATTAATAAGATTTATCCTTCACTTCTTTAGTATGCGTCTGCTGAGTAGAAGTTATTACGTAGCATACTGTTAAAGTTTGTCTGTTGTATGGCTTTCATTGTCATATATTGCAATATTATAATCCGAGGCTAACCAGTGGACATCAAATGCATAATAATACCAAAAGAATATATGTTTTATTTCCTGACTAAGATCACATATGAAGGATTGTGTCTCATAATCACCATCATGCACAACTATGTTTCTGCCATGAAGATTGCAATGTACTAATCCCACAGAATGAATATCACTCTACTCTGATAAATTGCAATATCTTTCAAATGCTGTAATTTCATCCTCCATGTCAATTTGTTAGTATTTTGATCCAAATAAGATAAAAGACTACCATTGTTAGCATATTACATAACAATCATGTATTATTATCCAAACAATTCAATATTGAATAGTTTACCTTATCATAATATGAATCATCTGCCTCATCGGTTATTTCAAACGCAATCAATTTAACATCAACACTCTTTAAGACGGCATAATCTCTCCTACCGTGCATCATTTGGTGAGTTGGTTTGTAGATTTCTTGATAAACTAATCGAGTTGGTTATTCTTGCTAGTCCATCCATGGGAAAATTGTTTATGTCCACAAATGCACCACACAGGACTACATCGGAGTATCCCACGTGCGGAGCAGAATCCACAAAGAGAATAACACTGGTAAAAGCATCTATCAGCAACCATATAATATTTATCGTCATACTCGGTAAATCCGATTATTGAGCAATTGTGACGATGAAGCCATGTAGAATATCTTCTGAAGTTATTGCCACAATTACTGTGGGTCGGAAGTGAGTATATTCTGGCAAACTCACTCACGAGTGTTGTTGTACATTGTTCGACACTTCCAAGCAATACCAGCATCATCGGCTTTTTATTAACGCTTAAATGTTTGCGTGCAATTAGCGTAGTAGACGTTGCCAATTTGACTTGACTCTATGTCGGCAATCTCCGAGTAATGAATCCATCCAAGTTTGCTAGCTGCAATTGCTTACTCTTGACCCCTGGAACTAACGACATAATTAACTCTTTATTGTGTAGACATTGCACATCACCAAACCGTAAAGTCTAACAATAGCAATCAGTTGTGTATGCATAGTAGGCACATACTAAATTTCCTCGACCAGGTAAACCGATTTCCCGTTCTCAGAATGTTGTGAATTAACCACATCTAACATTTCCTTTGCGATATCCGCCAATGTATTGAATTTCTCAAACCTCATAAGCGCTGCACTATTTTTATTTGTCATGAAAACAATTATCTTGTTAATAATAGCAAAAAATAAACAAGTAATATTCAGGCTGATAGGATAAGCAAAGAGAAGTAATACACTTTGCCAAGAATTTTAAAAGTCAACCCGTCAACTACACTCTACCACTTGCGCTATAAGCTGTTTCTCAAAATTCGCTTTATTATTATAAAGTTATATGAAATTTGGACGTCAGTGTCACGATTTTTGTTGTATATTACCATTACGCCATATTCCCTTTTTCTATTCACTTTCTATGAATCAATGGATTTCAAAGTATCCAACGACAAAGCTGAATCTGACATTCTCCTAACCAATTTACTGCTCAATTATAACAATATGTAAGTTCAATAAAATGCTTGGTTATCTATCGATATGTAGCTTACGCGCATATCGATACAAAATAATATTGGGTGAACGCCGTTCATTCGCCCGAAATTTATTTCCCAATCATTTCTCCGACAACTATTCCCCAACAATCATTTTTCGAAGTTATGTTTCTCATCGTAAAAATAAATCAGGTGGGCAATGTAGGCGCTTTGACAAACATTAACGAATTGAGCTTTCACAGAAGCATTACTGTCAAATGTTGGGTTAATTTTACAGATTATAAATAATAAATATAAACATAGGCGAATTTTTATATAATAATTGGTCAAATATTTTTCGAGAAATGATTGTCGGGATAAACCGGACCCATCTCAAAGACAAGGATTTGTTAAAGCGGCTAAGAAATATAAAGAAAGAATTGCAATAAAAATAAACAGCTTGATAACAAGCCTACTTTATTGTGATCTGGATCATAAATTTAGTGACGTGTGGTCTGGATATATGTATTATTGAAAGGGCAAAGAAAAAAAAATTGTTCTTTAACCTATGGGTCCGTTTTCTTTATAAGTTTTTTATTTTTAAAGTTTAATACATGATTGCAATCAGTTGTGTAAGATGCTTAATTTAATTTAATAAAGGTATTCAAATAGTTTGTATTTCAACCTATTACTATTTGCTGAGGAAGAATTTTCGCAATATAGTACAATACCGTGTTTTTGTAAGAAAGATAACAATGCTCAATATAATTGCCAACGATGATCGTTTGGTTAAATCCAGTTAGCGTAGAATTTGCTTCAATCTTTTTCTTAGGCCTGCATTAACTGATGGCGTCTTCTGTGTGAATTTTGAGTAAAGTAACTAAATCGATAATAAATTACCTTGGTACTTGTTAAAGCATTTAAAAATATTACATGTGTGTTCAAGTCTGTCACTCTGGGGAATAGTCTTTATTATTTAGTAATGTCATTTCACCATACCAATCGTTTTCCATGCGGTAAGCGTTTTTGGTGCAGACATCCTAAATGAAATCTCATTTGAAACAAATGTTTATCCATGAAGTTTTTGACTATAAATTTACTACATATTGCTTAATTTGCCAACAGCTTCATAAACCTTAACATAATTGCTCTCACGAGTACCCACCAAATTATGTTTACTAAAATTGATAACTAAGATACTCCCATACTTTATTTAATAAGTAAGTGCTGGTTTAATTTTAGGTAAACATCGTATCCATTGGCTATACTCAAGACACAACGTTTTTTTATTCCTATTATGTAATTCCTACACACATTGTCTAATTCTACTCTACATTTGGCAAGCCGTCTATTTCTGAATGAGAATAACCAAGTTATAATTTATATAATTCTCAAATTTTTAATATCATGAGATGATGGGGTTTTTATTGCCAAAATTGATTGACATAATAAAAGCGTATATAATAATAGTGAAGGATATTGTTTAAGTGAATAATTTGGTGGTGTGTAAGCTATGAGCAAATAAATGCTGTACTGTAATCAATATTAAACGTAATCAAGAATCAATATTTTTCTTTGAAGTAAGCTGCCCCATTTTGCTGCGTTAGGACTGTTTGCATTTTAACTGTTGTGGCATCGGAATAAACATAACAGCAAACCATGCAAACTTCTGGCCGATATATCTAAAGGCATTCAATAATATGGGTTGTTTTGTTGTTTGAAAAATTTTTATTGTCTTGTATTCTAAAATGACTTGATATGTCTATATATAGTACCGTTAATATATAGACAAAATACAGTCTCCCAAAAAGTAACGGTAGGATTTTTTTTTCTGAATAACATAAACAGACATAATAACTATACTATACCAAAAGTTTTAAAAGCGTATTACATTTTAATCTTTTCAGAATACAAACCTACGCTCACAAATATTTGGAATTAAAGCTATCTAATGACGTTATATTACTAAAATTCAATTAGTGAAACAAAATGTTAAAATATTTCTAATGTTTTAATTCCAAAGAAAAGTTGCTATTAACAACCTTTACGAGCTCGATTATTTAAGAAACACGCCGCACCGAATATTACGCTACTTTTATCTAGTAACATTAAAGTAATTAGTACAGATTTTAAACCCCGCTATTTATCTGTGTAACAATTATGTCAGCACGGTTTGAATTTCTCCAGAAAACAGAAACAGCATACACTACATATTTGAACAGCACGCCATGTGGTGTGGTAATAGCAAAAAGGTTGTGAAGACGGTTTCTTCACGTGTTCACCAGCAGATCGGCCAATACCGTTCCATAATGTGGAAAAATAGAAAACCTAAAATAGTTGTCATAATAAGGTTCGACTTAAGGACTAGCGTACTTTTGATTGCCCAGATCTGATAACGACTATGTAAATGGCAATTCAAGCTTACTGCACGTTGGATCGGTATTCGTCAACCGCACTAGTATTAAACAAGTTCTGGTATCGGTTCATGACTGACATAACTGGGTTCATACCGTGTTGCCAATTAACACACTACGTTCGTCCAAATGCTACATAAATACTGTTCCATCACCTGCACCTATGCTTCGCATTAATAATACATCTTTTGCTATCTAACATGTCAGACAAAGATTCATCCTCGATTGCTAGTGACGTTCTCATCGTAGAAGATAAGCATTTACGTGTGCTCTCTTCTCTGTGCAGCACATACGTCGGGAAATTGGAAGAGGACGAATTAGACATTCTCTCAACCACTGACAGCAAAGTACTCACTACGAATAACGCCGACGTCCAGGAATTTGGCAAATACGATCTCGGCAATGATGAAGAATTTATCGAAAAACTCGTCATTCGCATAAACACTGTTGTCAGACCAAAGAAAGTCGCAGAATTAAAGAAGCTACTACGCAATCTATCGAAACCAAGAACTGCTCGCATATTAACGGGATTTGGCAAACCATTTTACGAACTTACCCAGAAACAACGAGAAGCTGTACTTAAAAGATGGGCAACTAGCACATTCGTGATTGAACGACAAGCATTTCGCACATTCCTTCTACTCATATGTAGCGCATTTTGGCTAAATGCTCAGAAATTCTATCCTGCAATCGGATATCCTGGACCCGACCCTGACGCTAACTATATAAATTATGACGAACGAACTTCCCCCGAATTCAAATTTATCGAAGTCCCACACGAAGGTCTCGACCTACCACGCGAAGGTGAGAATGAAATTGACGTCGTCATTATTGGGTCGGGTGCCGGCGGCGGAGTCGCTGCGGCAGAATTGGCAAAAGCCGGTTATAAGGTCCTCATTCTCGAAAAGGGTAAATACTACCAACCAAAAGATCTCACTCTCGAGCAGATGGATGCCGTAAACGCTTTATATGAACAGAGTGCATGGCTTTCGTCAGAAGATGGAAGCGTGAGTTATTTGGCTGGCTCCACTTTTGGCGGGGGGACGACAATTAACTGGTCGGCATGTTTGAAGGTAAAGTAGTGGTTTCCGTTTGATCGTCGAATTCAGGCTTTTTTATTTGATGACAATGCGCTCTTCCACTTTCTATTAGCCGCAATATTTTGTTCGCGAAGAATGGGCAAGTAAGGGACTAGCCTATTTTTTAACAGACGAGTATCGTAAGTCTATGAACATGGTTTTATCCAGGCTTGGAGTGACAAGTAGAAACATAGTTCATAATAGCAGCAACAAGATTCTCGTTGATGGTTGTAAAAAACTTGGTTATCCTTGTGAGCATGTTCCCCAAAATTCCGCTGATCGCCCCCATCAGTGCGGTTGGTGTGGGTTTGGCTGCAAGTACGGTGAAAAACAGGGTTCTGTACAAACGTGGTTGCAAGATGCAAGGGATCATGGGGCTCGGTTTGTGCAAGACTGTTTTGTTCAGAAAATTCTTGTTGAGAAAGGCAAGGACAAATCAGAAGTATATGGTGTTCAAGCGGTAGTGTGTGGGAGCCGTACATTGCGCGTGCATTGTAAGAAAGTAATTGTTGCTGCTGGTGCTATCCACAGCCCAGCATTGTTGCTCAGAAGTGGATTGAAGAATCGCAACATAGGAAGGAACTTTTTCTGCCATCCTACTGCTTGTGTTTATGGTGTCTTCCCTGGAAAAGAGATAAAGACTTATACTGGAACTATTCTCACTACAGTAGGTATATTTACAATGCAGAATAGAGTTGTTGTACCTCAGTTGGGGACCTGTCTCAGTTCTGGACCGAGACGGGTCCCAAACTCAGACACAACAGACTTTCGTCAAACTATTTTGCCAAAACATCAACTAATCTCTTTTATAATTTCTAGGTTTCGGGCGTTGTTGAGAACGCTGATGGAAACCATTATGGAGCCAAAATTGAGGTTGGCAGTCTCCATCCGGCATTTTTATCCGTCAGCCTTCCATGGAGATCTTCGTTACAACACAAGCAATTCATGACCGAGTATAATCACATAGTTCCACTTATTGTCATCGTACGAGACAGGGATGGCGGTAAGATTGTATGTGATGCGGATGACATGCCAGCCATCCAATATACTCTCTCACAACATGATGCTAAAAGCATGACAGAAGGAGTTGTAGCTGCTCTAAAGATTCTTGTGGCTGCTGGAGCATCAAAAATTGGCACTTGCCAAAATAACATTGGAGAATTTCGACCGTCTGCAAAGGAGGCACTTAACGATCCAGAGTTCGTCAAGTATTTGGGCAAAGTCAGGAAGGCGGGATTTGTTGCCAACGCATGTAGTATCGGAAGTTCCCATCAAATGGGATCATGGTATGTTTCGATGGTGTTTCGGCAATGAGCCTCGTATACTGGCACGCTGAGTGTAAATAAAAATGTATATATATTAATATACTCTTTATTTGCCTCAGCGTATCATGATTGCTTTTCTAACTGAGTAAGTCGCTGAATGATTATAACTCTCAAAACTGTCTATAGCCGAATGGGCGTGGATTCTATGACGTCGGTCGTCAATCCCGATGGACAGACTTGGGAAGTAGAGAATCTTTATGTGGCAGATGCGAGTGTGTTTCCTACTGCTGTTGGCATTAATCCAATGGTAAGAAATGTTTGATTATTCCAAAAATCGCAAACACGAGAGAAATTCATACGTACTTACCATAGTTATTTGTCCTTTTCGTTAAGATTACCATAATGAGCAGTGCATATTATATTGCAAAGCATATCATCAATGGAAGCTCTTCACAGGTACGTTGAGATGAGTATGTGTATATTTTCAGTTTAATGTCAGCGAGTTATCAACATGCATAACTTTTTATTATTTAGGTGAAATCCACAATAACCCCTCGAGGCGAGAAGAGAAGGTCATATAGTATGCGCATCGCAAATAGAACCTTTACCTTTTAAAGGAATAGGCATCTCTCTATCTTTGGAATCATATTGTCCATAATGTAATCTTGTACCAAATATTATTTATATTTCAGAGGAAAGGAATAATTGATGTATGTTAATTATATTAATAGGGTACTAAACATAAATTTAACACTTATACTAATTTCGAGGCAATTACATAATAAAAGGAATCCGGAAACTTTTGATTGGAAATTATGCTTAAGCTTGTCCCCATATTGACTATCCGTATATGATGAAGATAAAATCACGCGCTCACAAGGCCAATTTCGATACATGATCTTCCTACAGCATCCGGGTGGGAGAAATTAGGCATTATCGCGACTTGGCAAATGAGTAACGCGCTCGGACTTTCTTATCAACAATGGCGTAATTTGATACATGTCACGTTACTGCTAATATAATAATAATAAGTTTGTTTACTCTATTCTCTAACCCCATTGGTTAGTTTCGGCTCAGCCGTGCCGGATTTCAGCATCAGCCGCGACATTTCTTATTACAGTATTTATTACCATGCCCAAAATCAGAAAAGCGCATAACGAAACGATAATAATAATAACATTATTATTATTATAATTAGCAAACTTCGGACTTTTGTGTTACACACTATGTTAATTGAATTGTTGCCAATTTACGCGTTGCATAACTACTCTCTCAATACAACTTGCCAATACTTGATAAAACATGACTAATGGTCCTCTACAACCTCTTTGTCGCGGTGCATTTATCCTCCTCGAGGGATGCGATCGAGCCGGGAAAAGCACGCAAGCTGCAAAACTTGTTCGAAAGCTAAAAGCTCGAGGATTCCTAGTTGAGCACATGAGATTTCCTGGTAGGAATTTTGTCAACTAATTACTATAATGGTGAAGACTCGAGAGTCTGAGAAAGCATAATTTGTATAAAAAAGATAGGACAACGCCAATCGGAAACATGATAGACGCGTATCTAAAGTCGACAAAGGAATTGGATGACCATGCTGTACATTTGTTATTTTCGGCAAATAGATGGGAGTGCATGTAAGATTAAAGACTGTTATAACATACGTCATTCAGACTTGTTTTTTTATTATCGCTTTCGAATTATATCTTGTTCACGAACTGAGCAGTCTTTTTATTATAACTTTAGGGCAAAAATGAAAAAGCTTTTGTCAAGGTAAAAACCCGAGTTCTATTTACTTCTCGATCTGCTCTTCTAAACCAGTTTGCTCTGCCAGTGGTACATCAATAGTTGTAGAAAGATATGCTTATTCCGGTGTTACATTTTCGGCAGCTAAGGTATGCTCTATCATCTTGTTGTATTCGTTCAATTACTCCTCTTCTGTCCAGTTCATCATTTATCAATCTTACTTTTATCGACTTTACATCATAAACCGTCAAAAGGGTCTAGAACTTGCTTGGTGTAAATCACCAGATATAGGTCTCCTTGCTCCAGACGTCACACTTTTTCTAGATTTACCCATCTGTGAGGCAGGAAAAAGAGAAGGCTTTGGAGAAGAAAGGTACGAGAATGAAGATTTCCAAAGGAATGTTAGAGGTCTATTTCTGGATATGAAGCACGATATGACAGTAGGTGATATTCAAAATTGTAAGGGCGGGAGGAATACCGGCGTGTAATCAGAGAAACAAACAGCTTTGAAAAGTACATATTTATTTATAAGAAAATATCATGATTAGATTATAGACGCTCGGAAGACTATAGATGAGATCCATGGAGAACTTGTGGCAAGTGCTATTGAAACTATTAAAAAATGCGCCACCTTGCCGCTCAAAGACCTGTGGAAGCCTAATGACTAAGTACAAAGGAATATATAAAAGGAACGATGGTAGAAGAGCGGGGGGCGACTTAATAGCCCAGAGGCAACATAAAATGATGCCCAGTCAATACAGTACAAAAAATCCGGTTATACAAAACCTCAAGAACATTACATAAAACACTGATAAATATTATATCCGAAGAATAATGATTACTGCAAACAGTCTATGGTATCAAATTCCAAACATTAAAATATGAATTGAGCCAAACAGTTAAAAATGTCTATAACGGCAAAAATATCAAATACAGAACCACTTTTTTCCCCGCTTATCTCAAACTCGACGTGTAAGTACCCAATCTTTCAGCAACTGCTTTTGGATTCAGCTCTTCATCCCCCAGCGCATGCACTCGCATACTTTTCTTCGTAATAGCGTTAATATCAGGTCTCAAGTCCTCCCATGCTTTGAGTTGCTGTTTCTCATATAGAATCTGTTTCCTTGTAAACTCTTTAAACACGCTGAGGAAATCTTGTGTGCGATTTTCTTCATAAATAGTGAGCTCATTGTGGAGATTTTTGGTCACGTGTATTAAGCGAGCACCGAGATTTTCCTCGTACGATTTAGCCTGTATGGGAAAGTAGCGAAAATTAAGACATATGTAAATAGGAAACAATTTCGTTGCACGACAAACGTGATCCCAAAGATACTATACGTATTCCAAATCTTCCAAGGCTTCGTCGACTCGCTCAGGTTTGATAGAAGTTGATGCCTTTAAACGCTCAATATATCGACGTTTACTTATGGTATTTTTCTTTGCAGTTTCATACTCGGTCGTTATACGTATACGATTTGAGAGCGTTTCCTGTAATGATATTACAATTAACATACATGTGATGAATCGAGTACAGGAACAAGCTAATGCTCGTCAAGTATAGTAACTTATTCCTATATATTATATGTACCTTCACAACACGGGCATTAATCGCGTAGTATGTAAAGAAATCACCTAAAATTGCAACCTCCACAGATGCTTGTGTATGTTGCAGTTCAGCAATTGATTGAAGCATTTTACCGAGCTTACGGAATCCGCTGGAATAAACAAATATTTTCTCATTAAACAAGGCAATACCAGCGGTTGCGAACATTGATTGTGCGCATTGAACATACCTTGAAAGTGGTGGGTGTTGCTCTGATGTCGCGAACGTGATAGCTTTCATGCCCAAATCAGTATTGCACACAGCCATAGCTACGGAAAATCATGCAAAGGTGTTAATCGTTAGTATGGTAGATATAACCCTAACAACAATCACCAAAGCATTTACAATCGTCTCTTCGCTAGCGTCAATCTACACACATTTGCGGGATTTGGCTAGCTTTTGTACAGCCTTTGTGCTCTCAAGCATATAACCTTCCAACACCGTAGCGACTGCCTTAGCATTAGTCAATACATGGTCATCGTCTTGTGCAGTGCGCGAGGAGAATTTTAGTCTGAATCCGCTCGATCTCTTACGCGGCTTACTTGTGGGAATAAACTACATTTAAAGAAAAATAGTTAGCTATCGAATCAGGCTATCCAATACACTCATTTGTGCACATTATTACGCCCATCGATTACACCCGCATACACTCAATGCATAATAGCCTATAATATATTTTCGCAATGCTACACTAATAGGCGCCTTTAAGGCTCTCTCGGATTCATACCGTAAAGCTACTCTCGACAAATGATCTCAATTCCTCATCGTGTCTTAAGACGGGATTCGATGCTATCCTGTTTAACCATTGCTGCACCGAACGCTTCACTCTCCGTTCATCCTCATCGGATGCTGCAAAACTGCTTGCAGGCGAAGGTAGCGCCAGCACTATACATTCCGGATTAGCGTATGTCATCGAATCGTATAATCTCTCAAACTCGGTATATGCCCTCTCTATAAGTTGATATGTTTTCTGCTTAAACTTGGGCATATTCGTCTATAAAATTAGATTTCATAATTATTAATAAAGGAATCTATCGGGGAAAAAAAGTCTCGTGCGGGGACGAATGCAGTCCACATACAGCAGCTTTCAGCTTAAAGATAGGGTCACGCTTAGTTCTGTCAAGCGAAGTGACAGTAATACGTAGGTATTCATCTTCTTGTTGAGCAGGAGGTGTAGCGTCCTTTTTTATTGGTTTTGTTCTGGGTATCTTCTGCGAGATTATTGAATCTTGACGGTTCTGGCTGGCTGTATTGTTGATAAAGGGTTCTTCCACCACTACCATATTCTTAATCTACTATGTCCCTTTGTTACGTTAGTACTGTATCCAAGAGAATTCCAGATACAGAGCAGCCAAGAAAAAAACTATATATCCATTCGGGCGATATGCAAATGTCACACGCTACATTGACCATGTGATCGCAGGAAAATTCTTTCTTTTAGAAATGGGTATGCTAAGATTGTGGGGGTAATGAGTTTATTGTAAAAGTCTTTATGGGCAAGGAGCAGCATCAAGGGATGCGTACGTTCGAATTCTTATAACAATAAGGTTTGAAGGAATTTACTCAGAAATATTGTAACAGCTTAGTCTAGAGTGATAGGCTTACATATTAATATATAGTGTATAAAATGGTTTATGTATACATAGCATTTAATTCTTCATATAGAAGAAATACGTGCTTTCAGTTCTTAATTAGCGCGTATATATCTGATTATTTTGGTTAGTTTAGATTTATAAGGTTGCGCCAATACATGTCTGAGGAGGATAATGAATAAAAGAATGATAGAATTTTAGTTTCTATTCAGATCTTTATAAGTTATTCCTTTTTCAGTTTTATGCCTGCAGCAGGCAATACTGAGAACGGTAGCATGAGAGAAACTATGACTTTTCGTCTTGTACAGTACTAACGGTTTATTAATAATTACCCAATAGAGCAATATTCAAAATTCTCATTGCTTAGACTGCTTTGTCAAGTGCGTCGTGTCATTGTATCACGTCATTACAGCGAGGTCGTATTTATCTACTTACGGCCATACCCTCCATCCCATTGTACACTTTCGGTAGAAACCATTATATTAATATAAGCAAAAGAATACAGGATGCTAATCTTGATATTACCCTATTTAAATGTTCCCACTTTTACTCTCCGACAAACAAGCGGGTAATTGAAAATCTCACTGAGATACTACAACTCCCTTTATTTTGTCAAATATAGCCAGAAAATGCTTTTTTTTAAAAAAAAAACGACAACATATTAAAGAACTTCTCTGTAGACATTTATATTCTTAAGAGCCAATGTATTGTGCTTATTGATAAATATGCAATACCTATCGATTATCCTACTCTTACTACTTTATAGTATAAAGCAATAGGGCAATTAGAGAGATAAGAACTAAAATTATTAAAACTCAAAGAGGTTGAAGAAACCAAAACAAATTATGAGGGTTTTCACGGCCTTTAATATAATTCTTTTTCCCAATTACTTTTTAATTATAAACAACGAGAAACAGAAACATTTGTTTTCCTAAGCTTTAATATCCTAAAATATCATTTGTTATTAAAATTTTTGACTTACATAGTCTTGTTGGGGGAAAAATCAATGTTTTTGCGATGGGGATGTCGCAATACTTATTGCCGCGTGATAATGATTGATTTGTAGTTACACCAGAAATTAATATTTTAATTAGACGATGTAGATCATCATTCTATTAATTAATAAGGAAATTTTCCGAATATATTAATATGCTTTAAACAATGGCGCCTTAATATATTTCAATTACATTGAACAACTTGCGTCAATTGGAATTTAGATCAGATTGCAACCGCGTGTTTGACTCGACACATGTATGCTACGGTTTTGTTTGCATGCTGGCTTGTTCACTGAACTGTAATAAATTCAATTGCCACAATGTCTGTTTTTTTTAGTAGAATCCCATATTAATATTACAAACCACATGCTTAAAGTAATCCATACCCCATATTGATAACGTATATGCAAGCTTTCAAGCATCAGGGTGTCGTACCATTTATACAATCAAGTCTCTTGTTTTAAATTTAATGACAGACTTTATCTCAAGGGTTTCTTTATCAATTTAAATGGTAGCTATTATCGTAAGTTTACCATAAATAGCTAACGGACATTATGCCAGAGTATTATCTAGTGGATAGACAAAAGAATTACCCATGTAATTAAAAAGACCTTCCTTACTTTATTAAACGGTTTCACAATCCATTACATTATATATTATTCGGGTAAGGCAAGAGTCCTTTCATCTTCGGTAACGCTTTGCAAAAATGCTGTTTTTAGACATCTGTATAGAGAGGTCTTTGATTATCAATTGATAATGCATGCATGTTGCACGAATACGCAATAGGATTGGTCATTCGTATCACCTGACCGATAGAGGTAAATTCATCTCGCTAGAAAGTCAATAATAGAATGTTGATAATGTGGTCGGTCAAAGAGACAGACTCGGTGGCAATAGAAGCATTTAAAGTCATAATAGCCATACTGCTTACAATAATAGCCATCGTAGTAGGAATAAAGCTTGGTAAGGCAACGAGATCACAGCGCAGCAAGGTCTTTACAAGATAATGAAACTCACATTCGGCTTTCATGCATGCTAATATGATCCTTTCATTTCTAGCCTGGCGTTTATTCTGGTACCTCTTCCTTGAGGACAACAACTTCTTCCGCGAACTAGCCGGCTTGCCCAAATATACAGCTGAGAGATCGTCCTCCCCTCCTCCTGCTAATGCCAGTCCTTTTCGATCTTTACCTGCTTCCCCCGTGCATTCTCGGAAGAACTCTCGGCACTTTTCCACGCACAGCACCTCATACAATAAAATTCCATTCGGTAACACTGGCGACTTTCGAGCAAAGCGTAAAGGATCGACTGCATCAAGTGTTGATTCAGCTGATATAGATAGTTATGCACATAGACGCAGTGCGAGTAGCGGCAGGTTATCATCTATCTACGGAGGCCGTGGGGTTAAGCATGCAAGGGGATTGAGTTATGCTGCAGGGGACACGTTGAAATTTGAGGACAATTATTTGGAGGAGTAAGGGCGGAGGGTAGTAATTATGCGATTTTTCAATTTAAGAAAAATTAAGCAGCAAACTCATCCTACACCTGGTGTGTACGTTACCGCCCTTCTCCCAACGCGCAAGAGAATTGAGCAGCATGAAGATTCTATTGCTAGCTCGATCGGGTCAATCCACTAGTAATGATATGGAGTATTAACTGGCCTGATACGACGTCAGTACTCCCAACCGATGGACCAAGACGACGAACGAGTCTGTTTAATATTAGTTATTCGTCTGTCAGCAATGTCAGTCAGCAAAAGTTTATCGCATCTAGATTTTGCATGTTGTGCGCGCAAACAGCTGACAACCTGATGCTTCTCTTCCTAGAAAAAAACTTTGAGCAAACAATACCAATTTGGCAAGAAGACATGTAATCGAGCCTTACAGATAGATATTCCTCCATCAAAACTTAGATTTAGCTATACCATTCGTAATTCTGTAATTATTCTTAATACGTTATTATTGGGCTTATTTAAATTACTACTTTGATCTACTTAAATTCAGCGACAAGAACGCATTAAATCTTTAGAGTCTGCTCTTTTTATCTTAAATTATTTCTTAATACTTTGAATTCGTCTGGAAACATCGAGATCATATCCCTGACGCCGGGATGGTGAAATATTAAATAAACTTGATGCCCGGTTATAATATAGACATAGTCTTTGAAGGGAAGTCAATGACCGATTATCTCATTATTGAGGTCAGATATATTCCTGGCACATTATTCAAGGAATACCAGAATGTATGTCCGTAACAAGGCGTCTGTAGTATCGGGGCTGCTCTCTTCCCAGTCATTTTCATTTGCTTCACCAATTGTCTTCCGAACTATTCATTGAGGATGACGTTCGACATTTTACCTATCCTCTTTAAATGTTAATCAACATCAATAAATTAGACAATCTGCACAAAAACTCTTCTGTTTACTGATAGAATGTTTCCATTATCAGCATTGCATTATACCTTCACAGAATGTGAGACCTCGATCATTTATTAATATGTCCCTATAAAAGTAGTCGTAGTGTACTTTCTCATGGTTAGAGCCACATCTAAATTAGCTATCTTGCATATTAACAATTGATAATCAATCTAATCTAAAGAAAACATGACTATATTGGTGTGTAAAAAATGTCCTTTCACTACGCATTTTTGTCGGATAGACCAATTCTTATAGATGGACATTAACTATACTCAAGCGACATACAGTGTGAATTCCATGTCGCGCGTGGGATTCTTTTGTGTAATTTTAAGCATTTGAGTGATGCGCGTAATACGTAATAATTATAATCGCTTTCTGTTCCCATACTAAAACATGCGATATTGTTATATAAACTCCGTGCATCCAGACAAACACAATCGTACAGTTGAGCCTCAACTACTTTGAATGATGATTCCAAGACTCTCTCTTCTTTTGCTTTTTATCATTTCGATGATCATATTGTTTGTCACTGCGAATATAACGTCTCATATGATAAAAAGTGTCGACAATGTGATGATATATTACGATGAAATTGGCAGTCCCAACAATCCGACAATCCTTTTTATTCATGCCGCGTTTATGGGCAGGATTGCCTTCGCGCCTCAATTTAATGACAGACGACTTGTAGATAAATTTCATCTCGTAAGGATGGATAGTCGTGGTGCCGGACGTTCATCTAAACCCACAAACATATCCATGTATGACAGCATTTATAATTATGCTGACGATCTTAATGCCGTAATCCAAGACGTGACAAAATCGTATCTTAAGAAGAAGGTGGTCCTTGTTGGTTGGTCTTTTGGGTTTCCAACAAGTTTGGCTTACTTGGATAAATATGGTTACGATAAAGTGGCAGGGCTTGTTAGTTCTGCTGGTCTTGTAAATCCAAAAATTGGACTTAATCAGACCGCTCTGGCTTCCCTCGATCAACTTATCAGCAACGACTATACAAAGGCTATTACATCTATTGAGGGTGATGTTGATACCGCCATTACAGCAAAGCCTTTTGATGAAAAGACACGATTGATGTTCATCGGTGAGTGCAAGTTATGTCTGGTTGTACGGCGGATCGGAAACTCATTTTATGTTATCTATATGTCAGGAGTCATGGCGATCGTACCTCCAGTTGCAAAACAAGGCCTTGTTCGTGAGTATATTGTATCTTCGTTTAGCAATGGTTAAATAATTTGTGGTTTACTCAGGCTGATCAGATATTATAGGTACATCATTTGACTTTAAGCCAGTTCTCAAAAGGGCCAATATTCCAGTCTTGGTAATCTATGGGGACAAGGATATTTTGATTAATAGAGGATACCCCAAAACTATGGCAAAAGCAGCCAAAAAAGCAGTAATCAAGTGCTATCACAATGTTGCGCACTTTCCTAGCTGGGAATCGGCAAGGCAATTTAATACTGACCTGACAACATTTGTTAGTCAATTGTAAAGACGACCCATTGTAAAATCATTAGAAGCGCTGTGTTGTAGACGATCAATTGCCAGAACATGTTCAGATCCTAGATCATAGTCTTTTTTTTTTTTTCCAGCTCAATAAATAATACAACTGTTATCAGTAGGCTCTGTCATTAGCGTCTAAAATGTTTACACTGTTTAGTACCTCAATCCCGTAAATCATACTGTTAATCGCTTACGCCAATATTAGCAATAATTATATATGCGTAAATTGTGATTTTTAGATTCTGCCATGTGTAATTGTCATCTTAATTGTTTTACAATATAAAGGTATTAGATTATGATTGTGATTTGAAAGGCATTATGACTCGACTTGTTTATTGTTTCGAAATTGGGTATTTACGTAGTGGTGAAGTAAAGTTAACGATACGATGATCGTCCTAATTTGGTAATAATTATAGTCACTAAATTATTGCAAACTTGGATATTGTTAGCGATAAATATTTCACATCATAGTGTGAGGTTATAACGACAAGTGATACAGCATCGATCGCGGTAATTTATTTTGTTGGCGCGAAGGGCATACCAAATCTAGCATTTGTACAATATACTGTAACACATAACGATAACATACAATTCTGCATGTTCATCGCCGTAACGCAATTCTGCTGAGGCTGTGCCACTTTCAGCCCCTTGGATTGCATAGAGATAGAGGCAACCAATCGGTAGCCAGTGGATTTTTGGATAGCATGTTACACAGTGAAGCCCGAATTCTCTTCGTTATCTTTTATAACGAATTTTCATATGAATTGCACGTTTCTCGTTCAAGTGAGCAGTCACCATTCATTGCTACCTTTATTATATCTGGTTGCCTACTAACGCTATTTAACGAAATCCTCCAATTGCAACCAGCAGTTATATTAACGGACGACATTATTATTAAACTGACCATTTGTGAGTATTATTATATCGAACTCGCTTAACCGAACTTTGACCATTTCACCAAATTTGCATTCGTAAAAATTGGGCCATTTTTATGGTAATCACCCTATTTAGCGGATTCCCAAAATGTAAGCGACCAATAATCAGCGAGTAGATTTTATTTAACCCGGGATTTTCACTACATACTAATACTGTAGTTATATAGTGTGTGACAAATATCTCGACAAACACAAAAATAAATATATATTTATTAAGTATCTTAATGATCTAAAATGTTTCCCCATTTCTTCATCATATATTGTTTTAATTTACCGCTATCTTATAGCTCACATTACTTTTACAATGTGCCACATATTTTAAGTCAGGACTATTGGATGGCCAGCCATGACCCGAATTTTCTGTGTATTTAGGATCATTGGAGATGCAAGAGGCACGGAACTATGGTACCTCCTTTTTCATGTGTCAACCAAGTAGACATATATGTTTCGACTAAACGAAATAAAATGTTCGAATAGCGTATCCCTACGTTTAGAATTAAAGATATTTCCTCGCAATAGACTAAAGTTGCGACAAGATTCTTGATAGAATAAAATTGACATTCAAGGAAATAGATTAGTTGTTGTATCTAGACTTTCGGTGCTTGTATTCTGTTGGCAGCAATACCAAAGCTGTTTACTTGCCCTATACCACACCACACGCACCACATCCATAGACAGACGATCTAATTGTGTATCACGTTCTGGGACAGCAATAGATTGAACCCTCTTGAATTCTTGCGTCTAGCCATCTCTTATACAAAGTGGTGGGGAAGGTAATAAGGAGCAAACATAATTGCCGGTGATGTAATAAATTCGATCAAGCTGATTGGATGGGATGGAAACCAAACTAGCGAGTAATTTCTTTTACTAACGAATTCTCACGACATAAGGTTTTCTACAATGTCAACCAAACTATCTATTTTGTAGACACAAAGCCTTTTCATTATTGGTTGATTCTTGTACTGCAAATCAAGCGAAGCGTAATGTTATAAACATACTGTAAGGGATTGAGCAAATTAGTGTTTAGCAGAATGTGGTCTAATTCTGAAAAAATTTTATTAATATTGTTGGCTCCTTGTATAAATTTACATAATTAAAGCGGGTTTTTTCTGCTTGTTTATAAAACAAGAGGATGGCCTTTAGAAATAAAAATTGGCTGCTGGTTTATTCCCTAACAACTCGAATGCATATATATAATTTTTATCGATATGTAATTCACGATAATAAACAAAACGTTGTCGGTAATTCGAAAATGCATCTGTTTGTGTATATTTTTAAATAGTTACGTTGATAGTTTAGAAAACTAAATTGAGTAATGACTATAAGTGAATTAAACCAAGCATAATGTTAACAAAATATTAATAAAGCAACAACGTTCGACAAGCAATTTTTTACTTTTTATTTGGATAAGAGCAGTTGACGATGACTTTATATCATTTTACAAAAATTACTTCAACTCTAGTTTATTCACATTATTTATTACTTTTTATCAAAAGAAATTTATGGGTTTGTCATGGCAACAAAATGCTGCGAGTGTGCCGTCTCTAGTTTTTTTATACTCTCCTTAGCAATTATAGTCCTGAAATGGTGACGAGACCAGTCTTTTCTGGAAAATAAAATCGTTGCGCCTTCTAGCTCGTAGTAAATTGTCGGGTCACAAAAAAAGACAAATCTCGAATTACACTTTTCTGTGCAGTAAATTTTCTAGGAATGGAGAAGGTGAAGCTCAGTTTTATTCATCAACATCGTAGGCCTCGATCTATGAAAAACCTAAATTACAATAATTTTCCAGCCAGTGTATTACTGCTGGAATAAGACAGCTTGGATGCAAGTCGGCATCTTTAATAAAATTTTCCTTATACTTAACAATGATATAAAAAATTAAGGGAGAAAAATTCTGTTTTAATTGATAATGTACCAGTGTATATCATTCTTGAAGAAACCGCTGAAAAAAGCTGGACAGCATAAAGGTTGAATTACTTTCACCGAATACAATTTTTTTCAGCCCTGTGATGCTGGGATTATTCATTCATTTAAATGTAAATATAGGGCTCTATTTGTATTAAAGCATGGTCTAATGTCTTCCCACAAACAATACGAAACTGTTGGTTAAAAACTGGTATCCTTCCAGAACAAATGATGGTTGAGCCTTCACGTATCCATGACGAGGAGGATGAGCAAGATTTAGAAATACTCCTTGAAAAGTTGCCAACCAAATAATAATATTTCAGCAAATAAATACGTACACATCGAAGATGAGAATGTCTGGATTAATCTGCTGATGAAGATATAGTAGAAGCATTAAACCAAGTTGAAGAAAGTAGTGAAGACAAAGTTGAATTAGTGAAAGGTTGAGATAATAAATAATAAAGTAGCACAAGTGTCGATAAGTACAGTTTTAAGGTATTTGTATCAACAAAAACCAGATTTTGGTGAAGAATTAAGAGTTCTGAGAAACTTAAATAGACGAATTGAACTAATTATTCAAAAAAGCTGAGTAGCCGATCTTGGATGTTGTTAAATATACTTAAATAAACGTTGTTATTGTTAGATTTAGTGAATAAGTGTATTGCCGCCGAATTTGTAGAATGACACAACGTAGCTATACAAACTCTGGCCAGCCGCAGTTTGGTGCGTCAAAATTGATATACAGACAAAGTACACACACTCTAAATGCACACTCCCTATATCCTGCACGTGCAATGATTTTTCAGTCCTAAATTACACGCACGTGATCAATATTTGTATTGACCAATTATATTACTACTATTCTCTTTGTAAAATTTGACCGTTGTTCTGCTAATTAGTCCGTATTAATACATGCATCTTAGAAGGTGAATTGGAACAGACCCAATTGCAAGTTAACGAGTTTCTGTTTATTCCTGAAGAGGATGTCGTATACGATATTCCAGACGATAACCAACTTATTAGAGAAATCGCAGAGACATTTAAAGACGATAATTGATGAGGTGAACGCCGAAGAAATGGATGACAGTATCGAGATTCCTATTGTATGTCAAAACTAGCTTGGAAATAAGTCATACATTATTGGTCGTTTTGTTTATGAATACACGCCCGTTAGTTATACATAACTGTATAACAGTATAGTTTCATGAAAGGTAATTGAAGAAAGTGCAAATACTGATTTAGAAAAAGATGCTCGTAAAACAACAATATGCATGGACATATCGTGCATCAAGTGATGATAATATTCCTGATGCGGAGATTGTATCTTTGCGCCAGGAATCGAAACGTCGAATCGATGGATCAACTTAAACTAGCAAAATGGTATGGTATTGAATCGAATGCCGAGATATAGTTTATTTGCCATCATACATTTACCCTCTCGAATAATAGATGGGTTTGTTTATTGTTATCTCATAAGCATTATGGTGCACAAGGGGTTAATTATGTTACAAATGCAGCATCAAGACTTTAGTAAGTACCAATGATCTGACCTAAACTACTTATCTATTCTAACCCGAAAAAATTCAAAGACATTCCTTTGCTGAGTTAAACACGTGCATGCAATTTCTCTGTTGCCATTGTTAAACGGCATTTCTAGTTACAAATTAAAATTGCTGCCAGATAACTAATGCGCATATTGTTCTTTATCAATAAAGGTAATAATAGCGTTAACCAACGCCTTCAGGTGTAAAGAGTATATTTATTCTAACATTGTCGATAGAGTTAATATGTTGAAGACATAGTGAGGGTATAGCAATAAATCATCGATAATAAGTTTCGGAAAGGCCGATAAGTGTCACCTTTAAAGTATTATCTTTCAAGAATTTTATGATATATGGTTGGTCAATGTCTATACGTTTGTCTACAATTTGGCAAGTTTTACCTGATCACAAAATGTAGTGCAACATTAAGAGCAGAAATTGTACATTTCTATTTAAAATAGAGCATCATGACTATTCTACACCAGGATATTGCATCAATTTCCGCCCAACGTTTAATATGAAAATTCTCGCACTATTCCTTGCTCTCACTGCAATAGCCTTTGCTTCCGCTACATCGACTCGGCTGCAAAGTAGATCTAACTTTACGTCTCTTGAAACAAGGAACCTTGGAAGCGGCAAACTTGCCTTTTTGACAGACGCTATTAGTAACGGTTGTGCCGATCCAGGCTATGATCCATGTCCAGATGGCAGTGGCTGTTGCCCTACAGGCTCGACATGCTTAATCGACAAATGCGACATTCCCTGCACGATTCAAGATATACCTTGCGGGGATGGTTGCTGTTTTTCTTATCAAACTTGCCTATCTGACTTTACATGCAGTGGCTCTGGTGGCGGCTCTGGTAGTGGTGGCTCTGGTAGTGGTGGCTCTGGTGGCGGCTCTGGTGGCGGCTCTGGTAGTGGTGGCTCTGGTAGTGGCTCTGGTGGCGGCTCTGGTAGTGGCTCTTCTAGTGGTGGTGGCTCTAGTGGCGGCTCTGGTAGTGGTGGCTCTGGTAGTGGCTCTGGTAGTGGCTCTGGTGGCGGCTCTGGTAGTGGCTCTTCTAGTGGTGGTGGCTCTGGTGGCGGCTCTAGTGGTGGAGGCTCTAGTGGCGGCTCTAGTGGCGGCTCTAGTGGTGGCTTTAGTGGTGGAGGCTCTAGTGGTGGAGGTTCTGGTGGCAGTGGTTCTGGTAGTGGAGGTTCTGGTGGCGGTGGTTCTGGTGGCGGTGGCAACAACAATATAACAAGCGTCGCTTCTAAAACGCAGATGCAATTATCTACCAAGCTTCTGACAATGACAATTGTTGTCCTAATTTATGTGTTCAGTTATATGTAGCGTGGATATGTCTCTCAGGCTTGCAGTAATGTCATATTTTTTATATACGGTTTTCATAGTGGCAGATTTGACAAAAGTGGTGGCTCGCTATGTAGAAGAGGTCAAATTGTTTATTTGTTATTTTTATAATATTGTAATAAACTAGTTTATCGATACAATTGTATCGGGCAAAAAACGTAGAATCAAGAATAGAAATAATGAGCACGATTTATTTGTTGAGCCAACCATTATTATTATTGTAATAAACTAGGTTATCGATACAATTGTATCGGGCAAAAAACATAAAATCAAGAACAGAAATAATGAGCACGATTTTATTTGTTGAGCCAACCATTATTAGTCAAAAAAGTCAAATTCTGAAATGTCATTCGTGATAAGTTGAGTAACTAGCTAATACTCTATTACGGACTCCTACAACTTGACATGGTACGAAGAGAAAAATTGTATATTTGAAAGTAAAACTACAGTGTAATGCAATCTATATTAAGAGGAGCAAGATTACAGTTTTATCCTGTAGATAAAATTGGTAATGTTGACTATACACACATTCGACAGAATAGTTTGTTCTGGGCCGAAAAGTTTGTCGTCGATTCTTTATTTTGAAACAATTGTTAGTTCTGTCATAATTTGAAGGAATAAGAAAAAATTACGAGAAGGATTTACCTGTTACTTGTGAAGATATTCAGTTATGATTGCTGACTTTATGCGGTGCTACATGTCATAATGAAGCATGACATTTGAACAGTATACTATTTGCATAAAGCTTTCATGGGAAATGCCTACCTGACTAGCTATTTAATGTGAGGGCCAGTTTTTTACGAAATCGTCGACTCTTTGGCAATATTTTTCTGACGTCATTGCTTGCAAACCGTGCGAAGAGATAGTGCTTGTTCCCCTTCTGCATTGAGCGAACCTGAGTTGACTCCCGACTATTCCTGAAATAAATTTTCGTGTCATTTATTCCTCGAAACGATAGGTCAGCTGATTGTTGAAATCCAATCCTGGCGACAAAACTTTTCAGCACTCCCACGTATACTTAAAGGTTTTCCCTTTCACAACATTAGCGTATAGCACTTGGACGCCCAATTGATACAAAAAGTTTATAATTACTTATCAATCAATACGAATACCATTTGCTTAATCCCGATTACAATTGGATATTTTATTTACAAACAGCAGTATGATTGTATAAAAGGTGTTTTTGATAATTTAAACATTCGTAAGATTAAATGTAGTAACCTAACTAAAGTAACAAACTTTATACCACTGGACTTAAAACTAAATACTTGTAATAGAATAACAGCTATAACACAATAAACAAATGATAATCATACCCCGTATTTCCAGAGCGCTCAGTGCACTCAATTAGCATACTCGCTCGATGCCGCTAGTAATATACCTGTAACCGTAATTTATGACATTGATAGTCATGGTAAGACTTATTCGACATTGAGCTTTAAGCTCAAGCTTTTAAACATAAAAATACCGAAAGTTGATAACGACTTGGCCAATCCACTCACTCGTGAAAAGCACGAAATTCCAAGATTATGTACAAAAAGTCTTGGTCACAAAGTCTATTGAAAGGAGTCTTAACTGAAAGAATACGAATGCATAATAACTTTTAATTTGGATTTGCAGTATGATATAATGAAATATTTTTCACGATGTGGCTATTCTTCGATTCAGACGGGATTAATTATAACAAATTGGAATAACTTGCCAATAAAGCATTCCACCTGTCCTACAAATAATGGCAGTCTGAGACTTATTGTCAACTTATAACGTATAATGATTGTGGGACAGTTAATTATAGTAGCACCAGCCCAGTATCAACTATTATATAAATGCCATATTAAATGTCTGCATGCGAAATGGATTTATTTTTTGTGCCAGAAGTTGAATCACAAAGGCTGGCGAGCACCTCGTTATGAATGCAATAGAAGAACAAAGGCCGTCTATCGATTGGTGCATAAAATTTTAAAATTCATGCGTAACGTACTGCATTAAATCGAACATTGAAAAAGATGTACTATTTTATCTAACAATTCAACAAGGAGATATTTTCATTTTCATATTTGGTAATTCTGAATATGTTTGTGGAACTGAAGTTGCACACATAATATTAGATTTTCATTCAGGCATTACCTTTCTGCAAAAATCTGTTTGTGGCGTCTAACACGTCACTAGGATAGAGGCGAATATTCTTCAATTCAATGATAGTATCCGATCGTAAAGACGTAAAATCCAAGACTTTCAACTTACAACGTCAGCACCTTTTTAATTTTGAAATATCAGCTCTATCATACTTTTGACCTTGAACGCTATAAACCATCTTCGTTTATTTTTCAACAAACTTATTAGGATAAACTACTTTCAACATTCTTTGTGTCATGTTGTCAACCTTGTTGAGCGTCTCAGGCTTAATACGATCCATACGCATGAGAATAATGTTTATGGGTTTGTGTGCCGCATTATAGAAATCGATAATTAATTATCTGCAGTCCACGTAGAAAACGAAAGGTAATACCATTAATATGAATAATTATCTTTCACAAATGATCGCATATGAAACTACGATCATTCAACTCGGCAAGTTCTCGATTCACAAAATGTAGTGCAACGCTGTAAGTATTTGCCTATTTAAATAGCATACCATGCTCGTTCTACACCAAGGAATTCCATCAATCCCTACTCAACATCCAATATGAAGATTCTAACACTATTCCTCGCTCTCAATGCAATAATTTTTGCTTCCGCTACGCCATCTCAGCTGCAAAGTAGACGACTTCACGTATCTTAAAGCAAGGAACCTTGTTGGCAATGTTGGGGCAATTTCCTTTTTGACAACGAAAAACGTTAGTACTTGTAGTGATCCAACCTATGCTCCATGTCCCGATGGTATTTATTGTTGTCCTGTAGGCGCGAAATGCGTACCTGGCGGAAAATGCGATGTGCACTGCACTAGCCAAGATATACCTTGTGGTATCAATGGTTGTTGCTTCTCTTACCAAATTTGTCAATCTGACTTCACATGTGCTGTCGGTGGTGGTGGTGGTGGTGGTAGTGGTGGTGGTGGTGGTAGTGGTGGTGGTGGTGGAGGCACTAGCAGTATTAGCAGCAGCACCAGCAGTACTAGCAGCACCAGCAGTACTAGCAGTATTAGCAGCACAACCAGCAGTATTGGTAGCAGTACCAGCAGTACTGGTAGCGGCGGTCCTGTTGTTACTATTGTCACCAGCGACACTTTTAAAACACAGATACAATTATCTACTAAGCTTCTAACAATGACTGTTGTTCTAATTTATGTATTCAGCCATATGGGCATCTTGTAGTAATATTATATTTATTAAGTTATCAATATAATCATTTTTTATACAGCATAGTTGATAGTGTAGACATGACGACTCGGTATCATAAATAACTAGTGAACTTATATATGGCATGAAAAACTTGTGCGTGAAATAAGTAATCGATTCTATATAATAATTATTCCAACTCACAATCAGAAAACGACTTACTGGAAAGCCATTAAACATTTAATGTTTTTGGTATTTGGTGGTTCAATTTCTTTTGGCATGTTTTGAATAAATTATATAACTTTGAGTATACTAATACTAGGAAAACGGAAACCGTTAAAAAGTCCGTCAGTATTATTGTTCACGTGTTGTTAAAAATATGACAGAACCAATGGGGTAAACGTATAGGTGAAAAGTCCCTCGCGATAGTAAACGTATAGGTAACGTAGGTGGATGAGGAATCAGAAAGTTCTTCGGATAATTAGAGCCGTCTTATAAGGGGTGATAAGCACGGTTAGTTTTTTTTTTGTCCTCTGCAAATTTTTTGGGCAGACTAAATCTAAGCAGTCAGGGTATTATTGTAACGAAAGCTTCACTAATAAATTGTTCCCAACTCGACAGTGTGGCGTAGTTTGTAAAAATGTCAGCGCTTGGCGGAAAGGCTTATGCGTATAGGTCGAGATTAATTTAATATCCATAACATTTTTGGTTGGAATGCTGACGTAATAATATTTGTCTGCTATTTCGTACCATATCGTCGAAAGTAGAATGCTTTGGCACAGTAAAACAAACTATGCATAAATAAGCAACTTGATTCTATCTAAAAACAAAATTTGATGCAATGAAACATTGGTATAATCAAGTTTGATTTATCCAGAATTTGTTGATATCCAGTTTCACAGTGTATTAAATAGTATACAAATCGACCATCCATGAGTTTTAATCAGTTCCAGTTTCCACTTGCTACAAAGCAATGACGGCTTCAATACTTATTAAAGACTCAACCATATCAAGCACGATCATATTTTGCTGAAAATTAGAACTCGTAAAAGATACTAAGACCTCAGAATGTTAGCTTCTCAGAATATTGTCTACACGATCATTAAAACGCTTCGATGTCGCTAAATAATGTTTATAATATTAGCAGCTAAGTAGGTTTCAAGCCATCGTTAAATATATTTAGTTAAATTATAATATAGTGAGTGTGTGCTTTCTGAATCTAACTACTGTGTTTCTAACAATTAATGCTCATAGAAAAAAGATAAAGATACTTTGTACGATGTAGTTGTGCTGGCATCGATCTTGTTAAATATCGAATTCTGTAGACATGGTTTAATTACGGATTACGAAAATGGATAGTGGCTCCTCGTAACCCAACCCGTTGAGTGATCGCTAGGCTACATACCGTTGTGAGCTTTATTATACTTTACTTAGAAAGTTTTGAAAATTAAATAATGAACTAAGACAGTCCTTCGCATGATATAAATTTTCTTTGACCCTCAATTTAATATCAAACGAAGCTATTTCAGTGAAGGACGGCGATCTATTTCAACAGATATTATGATGGCAAGGGATTTATATCAACTTTGTCAGTTTTCACCGAAAACACTATATTGTGACGATAAACATTCACATGTTCAAATCACATAATCGCATGGTCGATTGTGTGACGAATCGGGGTAAAACGTTTTACTTTGGCCCCGCAAAACTGATTTGCTGCACATGTCAACCCAAACTTGACTTTGAGTCCATATGATTTTGAGTTTCCAATTAGATATGCCGACGTGCGTGGGATAGTCAAGGTTTAAGAGAAGTATCGCCATTAAGTTTGATCTATATAATATTTTTAATCTCCTTTATACGAAACTACATTTTTTATCACTGCACAATTGACGTTTTTACAATTTGATAGAAATGGTTTATTTATTTGATCCGCCCGCATTTTTTATCCTCTTTAGAGAAACCATTGAATACTCTATAATTCTCGCTGTGCTTCTCAGTTTTATCAATAAAATTGTCCCGGAAGACAATCATGAGCTGAGAAAGACAATGAGAAGACAGATATGGATTGGCACTGCTGCCGCCCTTGTCCTCATTGTTGTCATTGGTGTTGTCTTTATCTCTATTTTTTATACCGTTGCTTCCAATCTTTGGGAAAATAGCGAAGACATTTGGGGTAAGTATATGTACAGTATATATGGCTTTATTCGTAGATTCGAGGACAAATCATAGTACTTTTGTTAAACTATAACTCTATAATGTAGAGGGAATTTTTTCACTGTTTGCTGCCGTTGTTACCTTTATAATGGCATTTGGCATGATAAAAGCCAATCAATGGAAAACCAAATGGGAAGGCAAATTGAAGGAAGCTACTGAAAAATATCTCGATAAACACCAAAAGGGGGAAAAGTGGGCTTTGATCATTCTCGCGTTTACAGTTGTCGCCAAAGAAGGTCTCGAAGCCTTTGTGTTTATCGCTGGAGTAAGTTATTGTGATAAGATATTCATGAAAACGCCACGGCCACACTGATAATTCAAACTATTTTTGTAGATTGGTTTCAACAGACCAGCGTATAGTCTTCCTATACCCGTTATTACTGGAACTCTTGCTGGGCTTGTCGTTGGTTACGCTATCTACAAAGGATCGAATGTCATGTCTATGAATATCTTCTTTATGATCATGACTACGTTTTTGTTTTTTATTTCTGCTGGATTATTTACAACGTCTGTGCACGCATTTGTTGAAGCGACGGAGGGGGATGATGATGAGGGTGACGGTGACGAAATTGTCTTGTGGAATTTAAACTGCTGTAATGAGGACACAAACCGTGGTTGGGAAATCGCCAACGCATTGTTTGGTTGGAGACATATAGCTACATTGGACACAACGCTTGCGTATTGTGCAGCGTGGATAGCTATATTCTCTGGGTTGATCTTTGTTCATTACAAGGACAAAAGACAACGCGCGCGGGTTGAAAAGGCTGTAATCAATGATGTCGATAAAGAATTTGATTTATCACCATAAGTTTTTATGCCGTTATAATAATAATTTAATCCTTGACTGATGATTTGTTCTATCGATTATAGTTATATGCAGAGACTACAGTGCCTTTTTTAATATGTACTATTTAATCTAGTAGTAATTATAGTAATAGATTAATTGTATTTCGCAAAAGCGTTATTATTAGAACTGTTGATATTATCGGCTGGTTCTAAGTATAGATGAATAATGCATAATATTACTGTTGGTTCAATTAGTACCAAACATTAAAACAATTAATTAGTTTAAGAATTTAGTGCTTTGCTATTAAGCTTTTAACAGGTTATATTTGACGTAACCAAATTTTCAATAGGGGCTTTGCAGATGGTAAACGGAATTATTACAACTTGCAGAACGTGCATATACCTAATGTTCGCATATGTTTCTTCTTCTACCAATGAAACTACTCTCGGTAGCTTGTAGGTACAATTGAAAATAACGCGCGTTTATGGACAATTTATTAGCAATGTATTTTGCCAGCCGAAAATTGACGGACAAGATTAGTTTCTCCCGATAGCGGAATCTGCGTTTTGCACGTCACTACCGAGGCGGGGATATTGCTATTCGATATATGGGAAATATAATTTGAAACGATACTCTAATAGTAAAATGTAAAATTAGTGAGTATGAAATTTAAAATGCTAGCGATGGTGTTGGCTAGCATTTCTACCGTTTCACTAACCAGACTAATTATATTACGACGTTTTAGCTAGATTGATTAATTATCGCTGACAGCATTTTCGTCTAAAAAAGCGGCCAATTTTGCTGGAGTCGTAGTATTCGCCTGATTTGGCATTATTACCGTTATATTGGGCAATGCTTCGGAGAATAGTGTTCTAAGAAAAATACGAACTTATTGATCTGACAGCTGGAAGAGAATTATTTTCAAGAGACAAAACGACAAAGAATTGTGAGACTTATTGGTGGCAAACATATCTCTTATGAGTTGGACTAACCAATGATAAGAGAATATGAAGATAATCAATAATGTTTGAATTAGAAATTGCCATGTAAACAAAGTGTGTTTACTGCGTTCATTAAAAACAACAAACTTTATTAAAATTGGAAGCAATTCTTCGTGGACCTTATTGGCAGTAAATATAATGAATTTTGACAACACATGATTGAACCAATTAGCGAATTATTATTTACATTTCCAAGGCTAAAAAATCATTCTAATCAAAATTGCACATCATAGACTATCTACATGGCTACAATGACTCTTCCTGACCGCTTTATTCAGTGCAAATATAGAATCTATACAAATGTCGCAGCTATATTTGCAAACCCCAATATAAACGTACACGGACTTGAGATTCAGCTCTACATTAGGCTTGGCTTTTCCAATAATATTAAACTATTCGAATTGACGCTTTTATTTAGGGCTTGCTCTGTTCACAGAATTTGCCTATCTCACCGACATTGTTAGGGGCACAGTTCAATATTAATCGTTAATAACAGTTTACACTTTAGTAGTCAAGCTAGGTTTAACATACATTTATTACCGATTAGATCAGAGGTGCTTAATTAGTATGGATGGTTGACTAAAGTATTACACGCGGCGTGTTTAGCGATAGTTATTTGCCATCTAGATTCTAAAATAGTTATTTTGTGGCAGAAAATTTAATACAAAGAAACGATATCCTACACCCGGATTTGGTCGAAATTCCAGCGGACTAAGGGCAATACTTTACGACAGAGAACAAATAAACTTAAGATCAATATATATATATATACTATCTGGCTTTCGGCATGGCTGGAATTGCGCGATCTGTTGTTGTATAATAGTATGACTAAGGATTTTTGCAGGAGGAGAAAAATGTAGCCGTTATAGATAAACTTTACTCTCATGCCGAACGTCAAGTAGACAATAATAGCATTTGATATAAAAAACAACTCAATGTATAACTAATTTTTATATGTTAACAAGTTTGTATAAATTCAAAATTTATTATATCGTGTTATCAAAATATTTGCTGTGTTATAGCAAGGACTTTTTAAGTAATTCTAACAATTTTTGATTTAGCGTTAGACTGTTTGTCGACTCCTTTTTGATGTAATTCTGCCGCTTTGTCCAGGTTCTTTTCTACTCCATCTCCATTTTTATAACATTGAGCAAGATGAAATAGAGCATTAATATGACCTTGATCAGCAGCTTTCTGAAACAACTCAGCAGCCTTTTCCAAATTTTTCCCTACACCCTCTCCATTCTTGTAGCATGAGGCAAGATTGAATTGTGCATCAACATAACCCTGGTCAGCTGCTTTTTGATACAACTCAAATGCTTTACTCATATTCTTTTCTAATTTTCCCTCAGTCTCATAACACTTGGCAAGACCATTCTGTGCACCAGCATGACCTTGGTTTGCTGCTTTTTGATATAATTCAACTGCTTTATCTGAGTCTTTTTCTACCATTTCTCCATTCTCATAACAGACAGCAAGTCTGTATTGTGCATTAACATTGCCTCGATTTGCTGCTTTTTGATACAATTCAATAGCTTTCTCCAAATCTTTCTGTACTGTTTCTCCTCTCTCATAATAAACAGCAAGACTGTATTGGGCAAAAGCATTGCGGCGCTTGGCTGCCTTCTCATATAATTCTATTGCTTTCTTTAAATCTTTCATCACTCCTGTCCCATTCTCATAACATAATGCAAGATTACATTGTGCCTTGGTATAACCTTGATTAGCTGCTTTTCGAAAAAACCAAATTGCTTTTTCTAAATTCTTTTGTACTCCCATTCCATTCTTATAACACAGTGCAAGATGGTACTGTGCATTGTCAATACCCTGATCAGCAGCTTTCTGATAAAACTCAAATGCTCTTCTAAAATCTTTCTCCACACCATCTCCTTTTTCATAACACAAAGCAAGTGCACTCTGTGCACGTGCATTGCCTTGAGCAGCTGCATATCCATATAACTCAAATGCTTTCTTTAGGTCTTTTTCTACACCTTCTCCATTTTCATAACAAATGGCAAGATTATACATTGCATTAGTATTGCCCCGAACTGCTGCCTTTTCATATAACTTGGCTGCTTTAACTAAGTCTTTCTCTACACCTTCTCCATTTTCATAACACAAACCCAGATTTATTTGTGCCTTGGCATGACCTTTATCAGCTGCCATTTGATAAAATTTAACTGCCTTTTTTAGATCTTTTTCCGTTCCTCTTCCCTTTTTGTAACAAATAGCAAGATTATATTGTGCAACAGAATAACCCTGATCAGCAGCTTTTTGATACAATTCAAATGCTTTTTGTATGTTTTTTTCTACCACCTTCCCATCTTCATAATATACAGCAAGGCAATTTTGTGCATTTGCAATCCCCTGATCAGCTGCCTTAGTGTATAATTCAATTGCTTTGTTCAGATCTTTTTCCACTTCATCACCATCTTCATAAAAACCAGCAAGATTGTACTGTGCATATGCATCACCTTGATTGGCTGCTTTTTGATATAGCTCAACTGCTTTTTTCATGTCTTGAGCAACCACTTCTCCTTTTACATAACATGCAGCAAGATGGTTTTGTGCATCTGCATATCCATGTTCAGCAGCTTCTTGATACAGTTTAATTGCTTTGTCCAAATTTTTTTCTAACCCTTCACTATTCTCATAGTACATTGCAAGGTCATATAATGCTTTTAATTTGTGATTAGTATTTGTATTGGCTGTATCAGTATTGAGTTGACTTTTAAGCTGTTCAGATAATAGGTTTAACCATCTGTATACACCTTCAGCAGATGGTCTTTTATTAGGGTCTTCATCCCAACACTTTGAATATAATTCAACATATTCATCAGGAGTTCCAAGAAAAGGTTCCTCATGTGTGCCAGTATACCAATACAGATAGAAGTCATCATATGTATATAGTCCTTCACAAGGAGGTTTTCCACTAGAAATTTCCCAGAGAAGCACTCCAAGACTGTAGATATCAGATTTCTTTCCTGGTACATATTCACCTTCTGATGTAATAATTTTTGGATCAATATATGCAAGGGTGCCTTCATGTTCTAATGCAGTATTTTGTTTATATGGTCCAATATCTGTATTATTATGTTAGAGACAATGAATAGTTCAATATTCTGTCTGTATTAATAAATTAAGCACCAAGTTATTCAAAATATTTTTACCTTCTGTTGATATTTTTAAGTGGTCTTCTATTAGAGTCTTTATTTCAGACTTCTGAACATATTTTAATGTACTTTTTGAATGCTCCCGAAAAATAGACATCATGTGTTTAAAATGGTCTATTATGAAAAATTATCAATACTCAGTATATCTTACTTTCTACTAAATTACTCTCAATATTAATCCAAGCATTGTTGAAAAGTCTTTGGATAATTACCTTTATGCTCTGATATAGACATGCCTTGTTCTAGTAAAGTTGATAACCCAAAATCTGTTATTTGGGCCACACCTGAATGAATAAGGATGTTTTTTGAAGACTAAATAATTGGGAACACAAACATCAAGTGAATATTAGAGCAAACATATGAGGCACAGTTAATTTTTAAATTGCAATAGAAATATAGTTAATATCATACCAAATCTCTATGGATAATATTACATTCATGCAGACATTTTAACCCTCTTGCAATATCTAAGCCTAGTTTATACTTGTCTTCCCAAGTTAAATCGGAGAAATGTTCTTTCAGGTGATTTTGCAGAGTTTCACCATCAGCAAATTCAAGGACCATCAGATACATATCATTGATATCTGTCACAGCACAAAACAATTATAAAGACTGGAAGTTTGTTAAGAAATTATAATCAATCAAACTGACATACCTTTGCTTAGGCCTAAAAATTTAACAATATTTCGGTGATCGCCAATCTTCTTATGGTTTATCAGCTGTTATATCATAAATTTACAACATTAGAGTTAGCTTTTGATAACTACAAGCTATTGGAATACTACCTCTTTGGCAAAACTTTTATACAAGTTTTCATAATCGTCAGCATTATTTTCAGGCAAAAACAGCGCCTTCATTGCGATACATTTTCCAGAGCTTTTTAATTGAGCCTTATAGACCGTTCCATATCCACCACTCCCGATGAGTGTGCGGTCTTTAATTTCACTCTCTGGATAAAAATCGATCGCTCCATGTTGAACAATCTCATCCAAGTATTCCTTAGCAGTTTTGGAACTAATAAAGTCGGTAATATCGGGAATATCGGGAATATCGACGGATTGCATGTTTCGAAGTACTTAAAATTCAAAGTATTTCTCGTGCCTATTTGTAATAATAGTCTTGTCAAGTAAGTGCTCCGCTAAAGTTGAGATTCGAAAAGACGAACAATGCATTTATGTGGAATACTGTTTCACCTGCGCGATTATTGAACCTATGATAATCAAGCAAATTTGAAACCAGGGGTTTGTAGCACATTTTGTATTTCAGGCTGCAGTACGTTACTCAAAGAAAACGACTATAATAATTATAGTATGTTGTGACACGAACAATTGTGTAATAGCAACACGAATGTATCAATTACCGACCTCAGGTCTGCTTATTTGAAAGGAAACCATTGCTTAAAAGCCGGTTAACCAAATAAGGCTTCCAGATTTATAACAAAAGTCCGGTACTGTGCCTATAAAGAAAACCTAATATTACCCAGCAGGCTCATAAAAGTTCTGTAAAACCTAATAATCTGGTGAAATCGGACGCACGAAGACTACAATACCCAAAAAGAATTTTCGTTATCGTATAAATCAATTGATCTTTGAATAGTTATTTATCAATTATAGGTAAACACTTTTAAATTTTTAAACGTCATCTGTTTATCAAGAAGAACAAAATGGAGTTTTTTGTATTTTGAATAATTATGTAACGTCAATAATTTGATTCCCACCTACAAGCAACGTGAACGTAAATGATTAAGTATAAGTGTGCCAACTAGAATACCTTAATACTACCAATAAGAACTATCACTATGCAACCATGAGAACCTAGTCATGCCGTTCTTTTTTGAAGTTAGTTGCTTATTGCTATCCATAGAGCTTTGGGTATTGGACATCAGGTATAAAAATCTCTGAAACTGTTGAATATGCCAGACAGATTATTATTAAATGCGTTGCGATCCGATCGATACCGATTACAGATACAAATTAGAGATAATAAAACAATCTTAAAGTGCAGGTTTAATCTACGTATATGGAATAACTGTTTAATAAACAGCACAATTATTAGCAACAATTCAACGCCACGCATTTATAATTAATAACACTATGGCACATTTGCACGTAAACCTATCGATAACTATCTTCTTGAGTACAACTCTCGTAGTAGGTTCTAACAAATCTGCTACATGCGCGCGCGTAGTGTTATATCTGATATGTCTGTCAATTAAGATTGAAGTATCACAACGTTTCGACCTTTCATAAACATTTGCGGTCAGAATTATTAGGTAAAAGTGGAAAAGATTGCTCTTTGTTTTTTCTTTATCAATAATTGCACTCGCAATTTCCAACAGCCGTTAGAGTAATAAGTCTAAAGTTCAAGTTGGCTATTTAAATAATTTGCTACAACGCTGTTCAAAATATTTACTCTCACAAATTGTGCCAATAATTTGAATATACACGTTGGTTGCACCACAAGTGCCAAGAACAAGTAATAATAATTTGGCAGGACAAGTCGGATAGTTTCAACATTAACATTCAATTTTTCAAACATTAATACGTTAACACGATAACTATATAATAACAGCTATATAAGGTAAGAATATTTAAAAAAAAATTTGTAGATAATTAAGTGGTCGCAAGAACCTGCTAGTACTAATTGCAAGGAAATAAATTTCCAAGTTGCAAAAACCCAATGTTTAAACGACGCGTTCAATACAACAAGCTTGTTTGAAATTTACCACACTGTTGATATTAAATTTTCCAAAGCCGTTTATTTATAACTATAATGAAGAGAGATGAAATTTGAAAAAAAAAGACCGAGTAAAATGCGATAACTAAAACGTATCATTTACACCCAAACGTCTCTACATGCTGTTCACTGTAATAATCCAACTCGTACTTTGAAACCCTTTTAATCTATTTGGACTATATGTTACTATTAAATACCATATGTTTACGCTGCTTATCGGGCCGGGAAATAAATTTTATAACAAGCAATAGCTCCGTAGTTAGTTCAACACTATCTTGAAATTTTTTGTTTAGAAAACGTTGATCTTTGTCGGTTACGATTAACGGAACAAACCGGAATGTACAAGTTGTGTGTCCCGGTTTATTCATCGCCGGTGTCAATAATGAAGTTTTATTATTGGTTCAGGCATCATTTGTCGCTATAGTACAGTAGTACTAAAGTTATACTGATCGGAGGCTTGAATTATCATTATACTGAAAAGATACATAGTCAAGCTGCTTACAACAAACTCGACGGACTGAACAATTGTGCTATATCCGGCGAAAGGGAGATCGAATAGTCTAAGAAATTGTATGTGCATAGTGAAAGTAAGATTTCTAGATGAAGCTATATAACCAGACTGGAGAAAATCTTGGTTATAAATAGATTTATTACATAGTTTTCTGACTGTGTATTCGTAACACTCAATCGCTATCACACAAACTTCCGCATACGGGAAATTTCCATCTACATCCGTAACACGAAAACTTTGCTACGGTAAAATCTGGGATATCGTTAGTTTAGTATTATTAGGTAAGTGTCACATCGGAATTTACTGCGTCTGTGTACGTATCTCCAATACTTTCTCCAAGTTGCTGGAACCTTCTACTCGCGTGGGGTAACACTGGTAACACTGCTACATCATCTACTCCGATAGAACATTATGGAACTTTTTCATTATTACACGTAGCGTCTATATATAAAGACGTATGAGTTTCCATTCAAAAATATTTCTTCTCACTAAACGCACTTATCTCTCTTAACAAACAACTACTCGAACCGTCTCGGTCTCATTCGCCACAGTCTTGTCAGTAAACCACGCTTTTACGAAGAGACACGAAGTAACCATACAAGATAAAAAAAAATATGGCAGAAGCGAAGCCTGAAGTTGAACAGTTTGCCTTCCAAGCTGAGATTTCTCAGCTTATGAGTATTATCATCAATACCTTTTACTCAAACAAGGAGTAAGTACATACATGTAGATTTTCTGGTTGTGGGGGGAAATATAGTGACAAGCACGAATGTTAGACTTCGATATACCCAACACGAGAAACTGTTCTAAATTTCTTATTTACGCTCAGGATTTTCCTTCGTGAATTAATATCAAATGCATCCGATGCCCTCGATAAGTTTCGGTACCAATCACTCTTAGATTCCTCAAAGCTTGAGACTGGTAGTGAACTGTATATTCGGATAGTCCCTGACAAAGAAAATAAGACTCTTACACTTCGGGATACTGGTATTGGCATGACAAAGGTAATGTGTGATTGATAGGAAGGAAGATTTTGTGCACGTCTGCTGCATACACTAATCTCATTTATTTATTCATTAAAGGCTGATCTTGTGAATAATCTCGGTACAATCGCCCGCTCTGGCACCAAAACGTTTATGGAAGCACTTCAGACCGGTGCTGACATATCTATGATCGGTCAATTTGGTGTCGGTTTCTATTCAGCCTACTTAGTCGCAGACAAAGTGAAAGTCACGACAAAACATAATGATGATGAACAATACATATGGGAATCAGCTGCTGGTGGTTCCTTCACCATTACACGTGATACTGAAGGCGAATCTCTTGGACGTGGAACTTCAATCACATTGTTCCTCAAAGAAGACCAGTTGGAATACCTTGAAGAAAAACGTATTAAAGAAGTTGTCAAAAGGCATTCAGAATTCATCGGTTATCCAATCCAGCTTGAGGTTGAGAAAGAGGTCGAGGTAGAAGAAAATGAAGAAGTTGAAGAGGAAGAGGTGGCAGAAGGTGAAGATAAGAAGACTACCGTTAAAGAAGATAAGCCAAAAACAAAAAAGACGGTCAAAGAACTTGAAGTCTTGAATACGACGAAGCCGCTTTGGACTCGTAACCCCGAAGATATTACTAACGAAGAGTATGCGTCATTCTACAAGTCGATCTCGAACGATTGGGAAGATCACCTCGCCGTTAAGCACTTCTCCGTGGAAGGTCAACTTGAATTCCGTTCCGTCCTCTTTGTACCTCGGCGTGCACCATTCGATCTCTTTGAAACCAAGAAGAAACGCAATAACATCAAATTATACGTTCGACGTGTGTTCATTATGGATGATTGTGAAGAACTAATCCCAGAATATCTGAATTTTGTTAAGGGTATAGTTGACTCTGAAGATCTGCCACTCAATATTTCACGTGAGACGCTTCAGCAGAACAAGATCTTAAAGGTCATTCGTAAGAACCTCATCAAGAAATGTATAGAGCTCTTCTTTGAAATTGCCGAGGACAAGGAACAATTCAGCAAGTTCTACGAAGCATTTTGCAAGAACATTAAACTAGCCGTCCATGAGGATAAGACTAACATGACCAAATTCGCCGAATTGCTCAGATTCCATTCTACCAAATCTGGTGATGAGATGACTTCGCTTAAGGATTATGTTACTCGTATGCCCGAGAAACAGAAGAACATTTACTACATCACCGGCGAAAATCGTCAGGCCGTAGAGAATTCTCCGTTTACCGAAGTGTTGAAGAAACGTGGATTTGAGGTGTTGCTCATGACTGATCCACTTGATGAATACGCCATGAATGCACTCAAAGAATTCGAGGGCAAGAAGACGGTTAACATTACAAAGGAGGGGCTCGATCTTGGTGAAGATGAAGAAGAGAAGAAGAAACGTGAAGAGGAGGAGAAGCAATATGAGCCTTTGTGCAAGGTGATCAAGGAAATCCTCAACGACAAAGTTGAAAAGGTGACTATTAAATGGTTATGTTGCGCGAATCTCTTTTTGTGTAATATCTAACAGTATTCTCTTATAGGTTACTGTTTCCAACCGTATCTTAGAATCCCCGTGTGTGCTCGTAACGGGCCAATATGGTTGGTCAGCGAACTTCGAACGCATCATGAAAGCTCAAGCCCTCCGTGACACAAGTATGGCTTCCTACATGGCCTCGAAGAAGATTATGGAAATCAATCCACGTCACGCAATCGTCAAGTCGCTCAAAGCCAAAGTCGAGCTAGACAAGAATGATAAGACTGTACGAGACCTCACGTGGTTATTGTACGAGACTTCTCTGCTGCAGTCCGGTTTCACACTTGAAGAGGCTTCATCGTTTAGCAGTAGGATCTACAAGATGATTAAACTCGGCTTGGATATTTCGGATGAAGATGAGCCTGAGGCTGATGACAAGGAAGAACTACCAGAGTTGCAAGAGACTGGCGAAACATCGATGATGGAAGAGATAGGTATGTAAAACGACGCTTTGTTTTTCAATTATTTCCGTCACTGACGTTTCGCTAATACGATCCATTCTATTGTTTTATTCGCAGATTAAATTGCCACGGGTTTAAATAATTAGAAAAAGTATACTAATGGTTTGTTAGCGCTGGGGTTGTGTAGCATTGTATAAAGACATAATCTATATATAAATAAAACAACTCTCTGAATATAAATAAATTCAAAGATGGCAATAACATTGACACATGCTTACAATTGTCAATTATGCATAAATCAAGTGTTATGAGCGTGTTGCCGAGTATGATATTCTTTCTGTCATCTGCGATTGTTTAATACTTTTATTCCGCGTTCATCAATCTGGTGATTGGTCAATGATGTGATGCATATGACGGGAAATGTTCATGCTATGATTATGATAATTCAATTTCAAGGAGAACCCACGTTGTCAAGATCAGTAATAGTAGGATGAGAGAAACAATTACAGAATTTGCGCGTTAGGCACCACCGAAATTTCATGGGTTTATAATGAACGCGAAACAACTAAGCTCCAGAGTTGGCGATGACGTGATGAGTCAGAAGATTATCGGAAGTCGAAGAGGAGGATCGCTTGTTGCCGGTATAGACTTATACGATCTGTTAGAGGCTCGATTAGAACACGGATATAGGACTTGGCCATTCTTATGGAAGAGCTTGACGCTCTATTAGAACTAGCATGGCTTCCTTATAAGAGGACGGATATGAACCAAGTTTCATTGTTTCAACTAAGAATTTTACGGTACGCCTACAAAGTTGTGCCATTAAATATATATTAGTGCGATCTCGCAAAATCGTGTATCGCAGTATGAAGTCATCAATAAAACATTACTCACTACTTTGTTTATTCGTGGTTACTAGGCAAAACATATTCTTTCCCGGCCCGGGAAGAAGAAATATTTAGTTCTGAGGAAGTACAATGCGATGGCCGGCTTACTTAAGCGTTTGGTTATGGGAATGTGCCAAATCTTTCATCAGTTGTAGCAGCGTCGCGCTTCGTCTTCTATTTCAATACAGATGATCTCTAAGGATTACGAACATTTTCCCATCGAATGATCGTTCCGGTGGGATTATAGCAACAGTCGTTCATCTTCATATACATTTCCAGAGAAAGTTACCTTGCCGCCGCATTAGGGGAGCGCATTTTGCATGGACTATTCGACATTTAAAAACTGCTTTCCGCCTGCCGAGAATTTCTCGAATAAGATTTCTCCGCGCTCTCTGCATGTTGGAAGCAAACCACACACTAATAATTATAGCCAAGATGCTCCAGTAAAAAAATAAGAGACATTACAAGGATTCGACAGTTAGTCATCAGATAATAAACATGTGCATGATTAGGATGATTAGGATGAGGTATGACTTGCCGTACGATTTAGGTTTGTTCTCCATAATCTTTTCCCTAACCTGATGTCACGTTACTAGATGAACAAAACCATTATTATTTTTCGGTGGATTCACAATGGCCATTTAAAGTTGTTGTGTTACAAACGATCAGCGGATTGTTCATTCAAAAACGTCTGTTGATCCCGGCGAGTGTACATTTCGTCCCTCGAGTAAGTTACAGTAGTAAAATGGCAGACATAAGCAACAGTAATGAGACGGCTACTGAACGAGAATTGAATGAAAGTGTCGAAATGAAACCAGATGGAACTGATAAGACAGAGGGTAATGATGAAAGTATGTGTTGGGGGAGCTTTATGCTGAAGAATGTTATTTTGTTATTAGAACAGTTTCCCACAGGATCGCGGAGATTTATAAACGCGCTCTGACGTCTTTCTATTATTGAATTGTCATCATTTAGCTTCTCCTAGTCCACAAACTCTTGACTCGTCTTTGACTGATCCTTTGCCCTCGCCAGATGCGCCGACCGCTACAACGCCGCCGCCTTTATCGTCACAATCAGTTAAGGAAACCGAGCAAGTGTCGCAGCCTTCAGTGCAATCTCAAGAATTGAAGCAATCTGTTGAGCAGGATAGTCCCGGTGTCAGTAGTACTTCATCTGAAGTCCCTCCTACGGTAGTTGCAGACAAACCACTTCCACCCATTCCTCAAACCCAGTCCCTTGAACCTACATCTCCCGCAACAACATACCCCCCAACACAAGCACACTCATCCCCTCAATCTCCGAACCTGCCCTCAGACATTGAGTCCTCGATCCTAGACGCAACGCAATCTTCGATTAATTCATCTGCTGAACCTAAATCGCGAAAAACACCGGCTTCTCCATCTGAAAAAGCGAAGAAGAATTTTACTAGCGCTTTCACAGCCGTAAGAGGGTTTCTTGTGAAAAGTTCCAATATGGTTGTGGAGAAAATTAATCAAAAACTGGAGGAGATGGATGAAGAGATGCTGAAGGCCATGGAAGAGGAGGAGTTGCTTAAACAAGTGGAAAAAAATCAGATACCAAATGGGGAAATTGATGGAGGAGCTAAGGAGGTGCAGAATGGGCGAATCGTTACCGAAGAGGAGAATCCAAGCAGTGCTGTTGCATCAGGTGGCCTGGTAAAAGGAGACGTGAATGAAGATGATTATAAGAAAAAAAGAGAAGAGTTACTTGGACCTCCTACTCCTACGGCTACTAGTAACAAAAACAATATCAAGTATGCGACTGTTCCTTCTTCGTCCAAATCTGCAGCCAGAGCATCGCAACAGAATTCCACAAGGTCTGTCATTGCTGAGACTGCCGATGCATTGAATGAACGTGGAGAAAAACTGGGTCAGTTGAACGACAAGCTGGAGGACATGTCGAACAGTAGTAATGAATTTGCTAGATTGGCTAAACAACTAGCTGAAAAAGAGGCGAATAGGAAATGGTATCAATTATTTTAGAAGACGTTCTGTGGTCCTCATCTGTATAATTCATGTTTGACTCATAGTCGCTTGTTAATTGTATATTTATTGTTGATACGAAGTGTATTTATTTATTGGTTTATTAGGCATCTGCAAATTTATTTTCACGTATTGTTTATAGTGATTAGATTTCAATATGTGTGTCCAGGAGGTTAAATTATAAATACTTCGTCCGCGATAATCATGGCAAAATGGACAATGTGAAGATATAAATAAAGGATGTTAAGAATTGTGTAATCAAATATCTTTTCTTGTTGTAAAAGGAATTTAATCCCTCAATTATCGATAGCATTGACACGACAGTTCATAACTGGCAAATTTCGATGGATTTGTAGAACAATGACAATTTCCCAACTATGTGTAGTCACGAGAACCACATGATCATGCCTGCGTTAATACATCTCGTTAGTAGACAAAGTCATTCGCAAATATCAACAGTCCAATAACTCAGAATCCCCATAGATTTCTTTTCTCACACCGTCAATCGGAATTGAATATCTGATTACCTGTGTGTTTTGAACCTGCTTTTTATTTTTATTAAATGGTGTGGTGTAATGGCAAAACCATTGATCCTGATACACGTTCTTGATACACTTGCTGGGGTCATACCCCAAAATCAATTTTTCATGTGACCCCGTTGTTATTCGCAATATTATTGGTCTGAACAATTTTGATTAATCCCCCAATTCCCCAAATGGTTTACGCGCTCTCTTAACACATACTACGATGTCTTTGTCAGCCTGCCATTTGGCAGGCAAGAGCTGTTGAAGAATACATATGCAGACATAACCTCCTGAAGAACA